ACCACAGAACACCTGCCAGTGCCACAACACCATCCTTCATCCTTCACATCCACACGCTCCATAGAAACAAACATCACACAGAATTCAGGATAAGACCCTCTTGCTGTCTTTTGCTAATCAAGATAGATTGGTTATGTTTACCTTATTACAGTACCATACAGTATAGTATACAGTGTAGACTATAGAATGAAGTACTCATACCCACTAAAGACTTGCCATCTTGTGACAGGTCTTTCTTGTAAAATAGATGTTTTAAACCATTGGGATAACCTGTACATGATATAAAGGATACATAAACTAAAAAGACTAAAATGGTTTCATGAGTTTCTGGGTTTGCCCTTAAGTAATTATATCAATTTCAAAGTAACTACTGATATTTAATAATGTTCAATAACATCAAAATATGGTCCCTCAGTGTTATTATTTTAAACAAAGCTTTATACAGCGCTGACTTGTTTGTCCTCATTACTGCATTCTAGACTGTAGAGGTGTATTGCCATCTAGTGGCAGAGTTGATAATGTAAGAATAATGTGATTTACCCAAATACTGCATATTATTACTTGTGCATCAACACATGACAATTAGGGAGTTAAGTGGTTTGGGGGTTAAGTGGTTATAGAATTAAATACTAAAAACACCATGTAATATCATACAATATGTGTCAGGATATGATATCATTAACATAAATAACAAATGAATACAATGTTGATACTAAAGTAATTACAGCATTACTACATGTACAAATGTCATAATGTAAAGTGTTTGTTAGTGATGCTGGAGTGTGGAAGTACATCAGGCTGGAGTGTGTGAAGTGGATGTACCATATGCTAATGAGGGGGCTGGTGTAAGGCCCAGAGAGCAGGGCTGGCTGGGGATCAGAGGGCAAAGTGGAGTATTGTGCTGTCAACACAGTGACCGATTGGCAACCAAGAACCAGGGAGGTTGTTGTGGTTACGACGGTGATTGTGGTGTGTGTGTGTTTACAATCTGATCTGTCTACTAACATCAACACAAAGTTACAAGAGTACCGGTAATAAGTGTTATTACACAAGGATAAGAGCAAAAGTGTTTTACAGTGATTGACTTTGATTTGATTAGTGCTTCCTTTCCAGTCATATTTCTGATGAGGTTCAGCACATTATTATTCTATAATCTACCCTGGCCTGTGTCCCATAACATACAATCTGAAATGGCTGACAAACCTCTCTTCCATCCATCTTACTCAAAATGGCATGAGGACAGGTACACATAGTGGGATTTATTGTTTACTGGTGCCACTATACTTCCTCTTTCTCGCTCTCAGTCACTTCAAAAGCACAGGAGTAGGGCGACAGGGGAGGGGTGCACCATTGTTAATTGGCCCTTTAAGAGGAACAGAGAGGTGAACAAAGAAGAAGAGAGGGGGACAGTAGGGTCCTGTTGCCTCTCCAAGGGTGAACAGCCCGAGCAGAGGACTAGTCAAGATACAGTATATGTGATTCACACATTATGGAGGTTATATATCCTGAGAGAAATAACAAGTTAGTATAGTATTAGTCATAAAACATGACATGCCTATAGAGCCATTGCATTGCAGGTGCAAACATTAAAATATATTCACTTTTAATATGACTCTGAGAAGTCAGTAAATATGAATATCACATGCCCTGCAGTCAGGGCTGAGGGCAGCAGAGCAGTATTGTGGTTATAGTCATGAGGTGTAGGTTACTTACCAGAAAAACTGTTGCCTCACATCTCATGCCACACTGATGCAAGAGATGGTGGTTCAATGGAACGATAGGTACTCTTTTTTTCTTCAATGAGGGGATGGACCTAAATTAGCATTTCACAAGTCCCCTTTTCCTCCTCTATTGCAACCTTCCCCGCAGAGCCCTTGCTTTCCCCGGGGATTGTCCTGTTTTTGGCACTTGTTGCCGTTGGCAGGGTGACAGTATTCGAGTGTGCAAACTTGTGCTATTGTCCGCGGGCCAGAAGGAGCCATGGAGACCCACTAATATGACACAGGAAAATGTTTGCTGATGGCAATTCTATGGGCTTTGTCTAACTCTTTCTCCTTCATGACGACTCGATTTAAGTCTCTAAATGTTTGACTACAAATGCAGGAGTGCTATCCAGCTCCTTTCCTTTTGTCCCGCGAGGTTTGAATGAGTAATTCAGCTTTTGTGTTGCTCGATTGAGGGGGCAAACAGAAAGACAAGATTCTTGAGCGCTCAAGCCCCCTTTCCATGGATATGTGCTCTTTAGATCCCCCTCCCCACCAAATCCTACATCTGACACCACTCTGGAAGGGGGGGGGGGGGGGGGGGTCTAGATCACAACAGTTGAAAGTAGCCAAACTAAAATTGTCTCACAGTGATGAAGCATGCCCATACCATTAACAGCCTATGTCAGACTAATCATGCACGGTAGTTCTTGGAGCATATTTAGAAGTTTGGATAAACTATTGTAAGGGTGTTCCATGAGCGCGCGGAAGACCGGGCAGAAATATTGCATCTATTAGCTGCTTTTCTTGGAGGATCTCCGTGACAACAATTTGCGATGGCAAAGAATTCAATACCGGGGGCTTGGAGGCTGATTGGGGTGCATTGTGAGGGGACTGAGGTCGCTGATTGGTTCAAGGAAAGCACCAACACTACACGCAGTTTATATTCATTCAACTTGTTGAAGCACTCAGACTGCTTCTGGGAGAGAGACAGGAATGAGAATCCTCAACAGGGGACATGGTAAGTTGTATTTGTGGTTATGAATGGATAACTTGCAACCTACGTGTTGTTAGGCTATGCGTAATTGTGTAATTACTGTTTTATTAGGCCATATGCGTAATTGTGTGATTATTGTGGTATTCCTCATGAACAACGAATAATGTGAGTATATTGAGTTCTAAATATTTTTATTACATTTCTTATAACTTATGATGCCATTTATTTTTTTCTCAGATTTTAAAGATGAAGAATAATATAATTTGCATGGACTTTTTTGGTAGTAGGCCTATGGATTAAAATATTTGCACTGTAAAATGGCAAGTGCAGACAGTGAGGTGAAAACGTTACTGAACTTTGTAAACTTGGCATCCAGTGACATCAAGGCGGCTCTGGACAAATCAGCCCCTTGCAGGCGCTCTGTGGACCACAGGAAATACCTGCAGAAACAGCTCAAGCGTTTTTCTCAGAAATACGCTCGGATGCCCAGATGCCACACACACAGGTCCACGGAGTCTGGCATTGCCAAAGCCGTGGTGGACAAGTCCAGCGCGTATTCCTTGGAGACAATTCACCCGAGCATGACGTGCATCAATGAAAAAGGGGGTTCGGATGCGCAAGACGTGGAGAACGCAAGGATGGCTCAGAACCCAACTGTAGATAGTGATAACAGTAAGCAAGATCAGGTTCCCATGAGGAAACGTCAACTCCCTGCATCATTTTGGGAGGAACCCCGATTAGCCCAAACCAACGTAGACTCTTTGCAGTATGGATGGAAAAAGAGCCAAGGTGTGACAGGAATCAACGAGGTTGAAAAAAGAAAAAAAGCTCACGAGGAACCAACACCGACCTTGTTTCTCTCCAATCGACGCGGCTCTGTCGAGAAAGAACCGCTCAAACTGGACTTGGCCTCTCACAACGTCAATGTGTGCGGTTGCTGTCCGTTTCAGTACCACGGACACCACGTCTTCCAGAGTCACATAGTTGTTCCACAATCGGCTGTGGGACTCTGGGGGAAAGCCACAGTGGCTGAAACGGAAACACCGGACATGGCACACCGACATAAGAACTACACGCATGTCGTGGTCAAACCCATACCGACTAAACCCACGGTCCCGCCATCCATTTTCAGTGTGTTTGGGTTCATTTAAACACAATTACGGACGTATAAACATAGGTTAATAATTGCCTAAGCAATAATGAAGATGTAAATATGAAGTTGTTTAGTTCGCTATGCCGGTTATTTCTTATTTTAAACTTGGCATTTCTCTTTTTTTAAAGGGTAGTCAAAAGCACTTACTTTTCTTTCAAATTTCAGACCAAACATTTCTGCTTGGAATACTTGCACCTTTACCACTTGGGTTCCATAAAGTCTAATAGGAATTTATTATAAAATCATAGCACCGTCTCAAACTGAAAAATGTAGACTACTTCATCTTTCTAATTTTTAAAATGGAAGGGAACTTGTGTTGATATAGGAATGGAGTGACATTCGAGGTTGTCCATTCTTTTATTAATTGTGATAATCTATGCTAAAGGAGAGGTATACGGGTGTGTTGATTACCTCATGGTGTATATATTTCTTAAATACACTGGTTTAAAAATGAATTGATCGAAATTACTTGTAGTTCACTGGTGTTTGTCAACAAACGGTAAACACAGATATTTAGATTTTTTTTAGTTGGTTCCAACACCTTTTTCAATAGCCTACAGGATTCATACATTTTGGCACTGACATTTACAATATGTTACAACAACAACTCGACTATAATATACACTCATTACACTAGGTCTGTTGAAAACACACTTTCAAAACATATTACAAAATCAGTGCTGAATATCAACAAGTAAATTCCATCCAAGCAAGTACACTTCATAAAACATGACATTTTAGTCATTTAGCAGAAGCTCTTATCCAGAGCGACTTACAGTTAGTGAGTGCATACATTTTCCATACTGGCCCCCCAACCATCACATTGATTGTCTCCCTTTGTTCGCTTGGGCCTAAACATCTGAATGACAGGTATTTTAAAAGCTTACTTTGAGTTAATTTGAGCTCAGTTTTGCTGCACTTCTTCAGGGGACTATCAACTGCTGTGCCTTTATCTATCATCATTCGTCAGGCCATCCACTCAGAACTGCAGCTCACTTCCACTCTATGTGCACACAACACACACATTCTATGTGCACACGACACACACATTCTTCCCAATCATCACTACCCCATAAATACAGTAAAAAATAATCCTGTAAACTGGTAATATACTATAAGGCACAACACACAGGAACACTGACAAGCCTTATTTGCCATCAGGGCAGAAGTCATCAAAGCTGTGTCTGGTCAGGCTGAGGTACTGCAGCAGTCTATCTGGGAGGGGTAGGCTGTCCAGAGACCTGAGTCTGGACACACCCATCTGCTCACGGATCCTTAGCCTGCACAGGTGCATCAGTGGACGGGCTGACACTGAGGAAACAGTAGGGGACGCTGTGTTAGATTGTCCCACCTGTTTGTGTGTGTGTGTTCATTGATGTACTCACATGACTTGGTCTTGATGCTGGGCCATTCCTGCCGTCCATCCAGGAGCTTGGTGAGTCTGGCACACAGTTGAACATTACCAACGTAGTCCAGCAGTAAGTCTACGATGGGCCCTGCCCAGTTACGCACAGATGGTGATGAGATCAACTCACAAAACTAAGGGATATAAGAATGAACAGAAAGAAAAGATAATGAGCATCATGCCAAGAAGAAAAAAAGCTATTTATCAAGGTCCCAGAATAATCCTAATCACAATAGGAGCCTACTTTGCCTTACCTGTACTTTACTGGCAACAGGTCCTGTGCAGGTTAAAAGAGACATGTCATTGGTGGGCAGTACAGTGTTGATGTCGATGACTATGCTGCCCATGCTGTCCTGGGCTGGGTGTGGGCTGCAACCATAAGCACATCTGAAGTAGGCCCATGCATCACAGCCATTATCCAAAAGGCACTTGAGAAGAGGTAGGTTATTCATACAGAGTATGATAGCACCAGGGAAGGTGGTAGGACAGGATGGGATGCTGGTGTTAACGTCAGCCCCATGCTCCAGCAGTAGAGAGACAGTCCTGGTACAACCCCTGTCTTACAGCTGCTAGTAGAGGGTTGACTGGGTCCAGGCTCAGATTAGCACCAGCTTTCAGTAACATTTCTACTGTCTTAGTGCTGCCATTGGAAATGGCAAAGTAGAGTGCTGTGGCGCAGTGATCCGAATACTGCATGGAGCGATTGTGGGATAGTGTGGCGTTGACATCGGCACCTGTCTTGAGCAGTATGGCTGTGACCATGTCCCGGTTGTGCTCTGCAGCCAGGTGGAGGGGGCTGATCCCGCTGTGGCGAACTCTGGCCCGACTGGTGACTGGGACAAGCAGGGACACAATACTGGAACAAGGGGACATTAGTACTGTACATAAGAGTAATACAAGAGAGACACGACAGGAGGAATATAGTGCACTCGTACATACTCATGGTGTCCATACTGAGCAGCAACGTGTAGAGGTAGGAGTCCTGTCTTGGTGGGTTTGTTGGCATCTGGGTTGTGAGAGAGTAGCAGCTCCACTATCTCCCTGTGGCCATTTCTACTGGCCTCATACAGGGCTGTAGCACCATCACACGTCTGCATGTTGATGTCAGCACCTGAGGAAAAAGAACACACCGTCAGTGACTTTGCAGAAAACTGAATGACTGTAATAAGAATGAATGTATCACCTCATTATTAGGAGTTTTCATTGTCTGTGTGAATAAGGTGATTACAGTAAAAAGCCATATAGCAGGGGTGTATTATAGGGCCAACCATGTCATCTGTTACAGCATTACACACACTGTAACCTACCTTTCCTAATGAGGTATCGCATGGCCTCTACACATCCTTGCTGGGCTGCTACTATGAGTGCTGTGATGCTGTAGGTATTGGGAGGGTTAATGTTGGCTCCTGCCCTAACCAGCATCTCACAGATCTCTACGTTGTCCCTGCACACTGCCTCGTGGAGGGCTGTCCAGCCCCGGTTACACCTCTGGTTCACTGTGGCACCGTATGACAGGATGAGGCTCACCATGTCCACGTTCTCCCACTCACACGCTGGAAGGCATCAAAGGACATTGGGTTAGACAGACTGGCAGAAGACACCATGCTTCAGTATAGGCCTACATATTCCTCAAAACCATATCTTACACTCTCATGTTATAGCCACGTGGGGAGCTGTACCTTTGTATAGGGGAGTCTCTTTGTTCTTGCTGCTGATGTCAGGGTCTGCCCCTGCCTGTAGAAGGCATTGCACACAGGACAGTCGCTGACTGGAAACTGACAGGATTAGAGCAGTCTGTTCCTGGAGGGTGCGCTTGTCAACTGATCCTGGTTGGGCTGGAGTGGAAATAATATACACATAAACAAAATGCTTTAACATCCAGTCTATAATTCAACCCCAATTTAAGTTAGCGCCATTAACATAGGCAAGGGTTTGCATTTCAAGACTGTAAAAATGATGCTTTCAATGTGTACCTTTCAGCAGTGCCTTTATGCATTCAGCTTGGCCACAATGTGCAGCCTCATGCAAAGGTATCCATCCTTCTTTGTTCTCTTTCATCAGGCTGAGTGGTGCAGCCACTGACAGCTCTTTCACAGCTTGAGCATCTCCTCTCTGGATGGCAAACACTATTGGATCTACATCCCTACAATGAAGAGGGAAGGCAAATGACTTGAAGAGAATGCAGAATGTAGGTTAATAGATGCAGGTTTATGATACCGAGTTCTCTCATAAATCTAGTTGTTAATATTTTTAAATAAAGAGTAGGCAAATCCGTGATTTTATTTTCCATAGTTTAGATATAATGGCAATAATGTATGGTCCTTGTAAATCAATAAATATTATAATTTATTATATAAAATATACATTTTTTATAGACTGAAACAGACCCCAATCATTTAGTCCACGGGGATTGCCCTGCACTTCACAATTAACAAAAGACTCACTCCGCTGACTCTGACACAAAGTCGTTCTGCCGTCGCCGCTCAACGCATCGCCTCACATCATTGGATACCTTACCTAAAGACGGGTTGCTCTTGTTCCCACCATAACGAAATTGCGATAGATACTCAGAATAAGTAAATCTCGTCATTCTTTTAGCGCATCCACACGCGTTGTAGAGGACACGCGGCAGAGCAGCGGTCCAGTGATAGCAGGGGGGGGGGGGGGTAGCCAGGGTTCAGCGGTGCTTTGAGATTATTTTAGGACGATATTGACATGTGAAGATATTGACATGTGAAGGCATCATCCGCCCAAAAACAGGCAAATTGCATCAGGATACTTTGGGCATCTGTTCTCCATCACCCCGTTAGTTTTTATTAGAACATTTGCCAACTGGCAGGTGTTTTTATATTTTGGTACACTTCAAATAGGTGTTATATTAATTTGAATGGAATTTTCAATAACTTTAATGTAAAAAAATGCCCATGGTTATTTTAACAAAATTATTAACCCAACTCCATTCGTAAAAAAGTGAAATGATGGCTTCTTCACCATACAGTATTTGTGCAAACATGCTGACAGCATGGAAATCTTAACACTATGAGCATAAGTGCCTATTGCCTAAGCCTTGAAAACTACATCTTTATAATAGCCTACCACATAATGATGCTCTTCAGAGAGTTTGATGCCTATGGCTACTGTATATCCCACCATATAGTGAGTGATAGGGGCTCAGAAGTTTATTTAAATTATCTTGGTTGAAACTATATTAAATAAAATGAATACATACAGGACATATCTTCTTTGTAAGGACTCACCTTAAGATCTTGATGGATGAAGGGATTGTAGGCAGAGTCTGATAGTTAGCTATGTCTGCGTTATCTTCAATATTTAGTCTATGGCATAGTGTTATGGACAGGCTGGCTGGGATGGTCACATTGGTGGTCACCATATTGCCCTAAACAACTAGGTTACCCAGCACTTCCCTGTTGTCCTCATAGCCCAGTGATGAGCATGTTGGTCCTCGAGTTGCAACACATGGACCTGGAAGGAAGTTGACAGGATGAATGAATTCATCATAAAACTAAATATTCCTCTCAGTCATCAAACATAGAATTGAGAATTTCCATTTAAAATCCTACAGTCATGAAATAAGAAGGGAGAGATGATTAATGAAAGAGGTGGCATGCAAAATCAAAGGCAGCAAATGGTAAATCCTGGAACAAATGAGGTACACATACAGGCATACATACGGATGTACACATACGGGCGGCAGGTAGCTTAGTGGTTAAGAGCGTTGTGCCAGTAACCGAATGGTCGCTGGTTCTAATCCCTGAGCCGACTAGGTGAAAAATCTGTCGATGTGCCCTTGAGCAAGGCACTTAACCCTAATTGCTCATGTAAGTCGCTCTGGATAAGAGCGTCTGCTAAATGACTAAAATGTAAATGTAAAAATATAAGTTTTCCGCATGTGGAGTAACCTAAGAGCCAGGCACTCCTTTTGAGAGAGAGAACAGCTATCTGTGCTGCCAGACTAGGGAGCAAGCAGCCCCAGCAGTGGTGATGCCTTTTAAGGGCATGTTTAGCTTTGTTTGGTTCCACTTGATTCCGCTGCTATTATTAAAGGCCTCTCTGGCTTGAGGGCTTACATGGCTATGGCAGAGGTTATGAAGGAGTATTACAATCATACACACAACAGCTTGAATTACAGTCCCTGGTGATAACATCTGTAAAACTTTTGTGACACATAAGATAAATCACTCAGTGAAAATAAAATAAACAGTCAACATCCAGAAATAACAAGATTAGCTCTACAAAAACGAAATTTTCAAATCTATTGGGGGGAGTAAATAGCCTTCTCCAGTATATAAAAAATGATTTCAGACAAAGGCTAGAACATATTTATAGATAAACTAGAAAATATTATGCAGTAAATGCTGAACTTCTCTATCTTTGAATTCCCAAAGCTCTATCTGACAGTCTCAGAATAGCATTCCTACTCAAGAGCACCCAAAAGCATATCTCCAATATCTGTTAGTAGACAATAACACTGGTTGAGGCTGTGGGTTCATTGGGACTGATTGCTATTTCCTGTCTAACTGTCAAGTCTTGACAGTCAAGTAAATGTGTCTTGGTCTGGTTAAGATCCAATGTCATACCATTACATCTTATAACATGACACCACCACTGTAACCAGCATAATGTTTACTTCTGAAGAGTGAGAAAATCCTGGTTTTAAGTTGTAAGACATGTAACTATTACTGCCTTTCTGAACAACAGGTTTATCAACATATCTCCTTAAAACAGGCTTAGCAACTTGCTAAATTATATTTTCAGAAAATTGCAGCGAATCAGCTGTTGACAGTTAAAATAAAATAAATACGCCATTTAGCAGACGCTTTTATCCAAAGCGACTTACAGTCATGCGTGCATACATTTTTGTGTATGGGTGGTCCCGGGGATCGAACCCACTACCTTGGCGTTACAAGCGCCGTGCTCTACCAGCTGAGCTACAGTTAGACACTGTTGGAAACGTTTGAGGTGCAGATTATAAACTACCCATTTCAACCCAAAGTGGTATTAATTTGACACTTTGTTTAATTGAAACTGTAGCCTACGGACTTGGCTGAAATAAAATATTTCATTTTTGGTGTCAAATGAACTCAGCCTGGTCTCAGACTAGACAACATAGTAAACATAAATCCCAAAACACTAAAATCATTAGTATGATATGTTACCTTTAGTATGGTTATATATGACAGATAGTTACTTAAAGCAAAAATGAAAGGAGGGTGGTTGGTCGGGTGGGTTTATAATGCGAACGTCTAGCAACCCAAAGGTTGCGAGTTTGAATCTCATCACAGACAACTTTAGCATTTTAGGTAATTAGCAACTTTTCAACTACTTAGCAGGTTAGCTAATCTAACTCTAACCCTTTTAGCTAACCATTCCCCTAACCTTAACCCCTAGCCTAGCTAACGTTAGCCACCTAGCTAGAATTCGTAACATATTGTACGTTTTGCAAATTCGTAACATATAATACGAAATGGGTGATGGACATCCACAAATTAATCCACACCATACGAAATGTAACATACCATACTAAATGGAGTCTCGGATTTACATACAGAATAATACGAAATGCTCTGAGACCAGGTTGATGAACTAGATCCAGTCCTACTCATCTGCAAAATTATCTGAAGTCGATACAGAATCAAGAAAAATGCTGGCGCCAATCAAGTAGGCTGGATACCTTACAATTACTGACAATTCATGCAGATATCTATATATTTAAAATGAAATGTGTAAGAATTGTTCTATTTAGATTGAGACAAAGTTTATGATCTGTTTGCAATGTCAGTCTTAATAATTTATAAAGGCTACTGCCTTTTGTGGAGTACCTTTCACTTGCTTTCCATCTGTGAAATAGAATGCCTCCCGGGCAGTTGCTATGACAACCGAGAAACGAATCCGCTCGCATTCCCTCTCGCCTCCCCCCTGGTTGCTCGGCAACATTTAACACAAGTTCAGGAGAACACCCAATCCGGAAGACCTTTGTTGCTCTCTTGTTCGTGTGCACGGAACAATTCTTTCAGGAACACAACAACTGCTGCGTTTTATAATATTATTGGAGTTCTGTTTCTCTCTCAAGGATCATACCTATTTTATAAAATAAAAGTTGCAACGCCTAAAAATATGGAGACTCTTCCTTGTATAAATAAAGATGATCCTCGTCTAAGGCTGAAAGTGGAGAATAGAATGAAAAACATTTTCGTAACGCAATTTGAGGAAACTAGGTATGTTACAAACAACATTTATAATTTTATGCATTATGAACGATAATTATAGCACATCTGTTCACCTTCTGTTTTGCAAATCTTTTGGGCCACAATCATTATGTCTTGATACATTTTAATCGAATAATCATATCGTAGGTCCATGACAATTGGATGCATCATGATTTGCATTTTAAATATATTGCACAATTATGCAGCTCAAGTTTAGTTTGCAATGGACTACCAATTTCAGCACTACATTGCCATTAAACGCTTGAATTATATATTTCCCCTGACATAGAGAAGAATATGAAAATGTCAATCACATACCGGTTATAACAGAGGTAAGTAGTCCTAATTATATTTTATTTGAACACAAAACATAGGCCAGTGTCTTGGTGTAGATACATTTGATGTGCATCATTCTTATGACCAGTGATTTCCCATGTAGACCGCTAGCAGAGTCCTGGAGACAGGAGTGAACACATTACAGAGAACCCTTGTCCTGAAGAAGCAGGTGGAGGTGGATGAAGTGGATAGGCAGCTGACACAGAAACGGCAGGAATTCAAAGGCCGCATGCAGGCCCTTGCACAGAGGAGGGCAGAGCTAGAGCTAAAACAGCAGGCGGTAAGTTACATTTAAGCAATAAGGCCTGAGAGGGTGTGGTATATGGCCAATATACCACGGCTAAGGGCTGTTCTTATTCACGACGCAACGCGGCGTGCTAGGACACAGCCCTTATCCGTGGTATATTGGCCATATATCACAAACCCCCGAGGTGCCTTATTGCTATTATAAACTGGTTACCAATGTAATTAGAGCAGTAAAAATAAATGTTTTGTCATACTAGACAAGTCAGTTAAGAACAAATTCTTATTTACAATGACGGCCTACACCGGCCAAACCCGGACGACGCTGGGCCAATGGTGCGCCGCCCAAGGGACTCCCAATCACGGCCGGTTGTGGAATCGAACCAGGGTGTCTGTAGTGATGCCTTAAGCACTGAGATGCAGTACCTTAGACCGCTGCGCCACTCAGCGTTCAAGGCTCGAACGACCCAGTTTATAATACACAATTCCCGATGAGCTAAGGCATTTCAATACCATGGACAGGTGAAATGATACAGATACTGTATAGGTTTAACATAGAACCAAGATATACAGTAGTGACCTGCTTATGTGTACATCATCTCTTGACTCTTTTCCTTGGGTTTATGATTTCATCCAGACTAAAGACAGAGCTAAGAAATTTGAGAAGTTTGTTGAGGACAATGAAGTGAAGCGCCGTCGGGCCCTGAAGAAGTACCAGGTAGCGAGGACGCAGAACGATCTGAAGCAGAACGAGAAAGAGGAGCTCACTGAACAGCTGGAAAAACTGCAGGCCAGGTGAATGGGAGCTGGATTTTGGATTGGGAAACTTCTTGCCCAAATACTTGTTGGTCACACTTCACCTGATATATTTTTTCCCAATCCTTACAGGCAGCAGTATTTAAAGGACAGGGTGACCATGTATAAAATGTACGAAGACTACATGATGAAAATGTTAGATTTCCTCCCGGAGAGTAAGTTCATGTTTCTCTTAGTTGAATATATTTTCTTAGTTAATTCTCTTAGTTGAATCAATACCTGGATCTAGAAAACTATTGTTTGGTCGAAATGTTGAGAAATTGTATTTTTGCCTCCAACAAATAAACATAAAATGACATAGTGTTGGTTGTGAGGTACAATACAATAAGGAAGTTTGTTTCTTAACCTGGCTGTGAATGTAGATTACCTGGAGTATGGGGCAGACTCCCTGGTGATGCCCATCATCCGGCGCCATGAGACCCTGTCCCTCACCCATCAGGACCTGGTGGAGCGCCTGGGCCAGCTGGTGGAGGAGCTGGAGCAGGGCCAGCGTAGCCTGGACAGCCTGAAGCAGGAGCACAACACCAACAAGCTGGTCAGACATACACATACATGCTTAGAAATACATGAACAGTACTTTCAGAAAATATTCATACCTCTTGACTTTTTCCACAGTTTGTTGTGTTACAGTCTGAATATAACATTGATTAAATTGAGATTGTGTGTCACTGGCCTACACACAGTACCCCGTAATGTCAAAGTGGAAATGTATTAAAAATGAAAAGCTGAAATGTCTTGAGTCAATAAGTATTCAATCCCTTTGTTATGGCAAGCCTCAATAAATTCAGAAGTAAATATTCGCTTAACAAGCCACATATTAAGTTGCATGGACTATAATAGTGTTTAACATGATTCTTGAATGACTACCTCATCTCTGTACCCCACACATACAATTATCTGTAAAGTCCCTCAGATGACAGAGTGAAAAGAAGGAAGCCTGTACAGAATAAAAATATTCCTAAAAATGCATCCTGTTTGCAATAAGGCACTAAAGTAAAACTGCAAAAATAAATTAACTTTATGTCCTGAATAAAAGGGTTATGTTTGGGGCAAATCACAGAGATTGAACAGTCGCTGAGATTATATGATGTATTTGGTAATCAATGCAAAATAGGCTACTTTGATGAATAGCCTATATAGCCTATAGATCAGATCAAGGACCCAAGCGACAACACTTCCCCCACGGCTGCGGAAGGAATGATACGGCATGTCTCAATTTTCAGATATAAGTACACTACATGACCAAAGGTATGTGGACACCTGCTCGTCGAACATCTCATTCCAAAATCATGGGCATTAATATGGAGTTGGTCCCACCTTTTCTGATATAACAGCCTCCACTCTTCTGGGAAGGCTTTCCACTAGATGTTGGAACATTGTTGCGGGGACTTGCTTCTATTCAGCCACAAGAGCATTAGTGAGGTCGGGCACTGATGTTGGGCAATTAGGCCTGGCACTCAGTCGGCGTTCCAATTCATCAGGTGTTTGATGGGGTTGAGGTCAGGGCTCTGTGCAGGCATGTCAAGTTATTCCACACCAATCTCGACAAACTACTTCTGTATGGAACTCGCTTTGTGCACTGGGGCGTTGTCATGCTGAAACAGGAAAGGGCCTTCCCCAAACTGTTGCCACAAAGTTGGAAGCACAGAATCATCTATAATATAATTGTATGCTGTAGCATTAAGATTTCCCTTCACTGGAACTAAGGGAACTGGCCCGAACCATGAAAAACAGCCCCAGACCATTATTCCTCCTCCACCAAACTTTACAGTTGGCACTATACATTGGGGCAGGTAGCATTCTCCTGGCATCTGCCAAACCCAGATTCGTCCGTTGGACTGCCAGATGGTGAAGCGTGATTCATCACTCCAGAGAACGCGTTTCCACTGCTCCAGAGTCCAAAATTCTAAAATGTGACAAAAAATCAAAATCTAATCCATTTAAAATTCAGTCTGTAACACAACAAAATGTGGAAAAAGTCAAGGGGTGTGAATACTTTCGGAAGGCACTGTAATTGACTATACACTGAGTATACCAAATATTAGGAACGCCTGCCTAACGCTTCGATCACACCGACTGCTTAATTGCATTTTGGTACACCAGAAGTACATTAATTTCCAATGGAACGCTGCGTTTTCCTTGCAGCATTGCGTTGCAGAGGCAGTTGCAGTGCGTTCTATGTGGTGCATACGTTGTTGACAGATATGGTAGCAGAAGGTGAATGTTGAACTTTTGTTGCACACGTATCTAGATGATGCTGCATGCTATTTTGTGCAATGACGCAGTCGGTGTGTTCAAAGCGTAATATTGAGTTGCACTCCCCCTTTTGCCCTCAGAACAGCTTCAATTCCTCAGGGCATGGACTCTACAAGGTGTCGAAAGCGTTCAACAGGGATGCTGGCCCATGTTGACGCCAATGCTTCCCACAGTTGTGTCAAATTGGCTGGATGTCCTTTGGGTGGTGGACCATTCTTGATACACATGGGAAACTATTGAGCGTGAAAAACCCAGCAGCGTTGCAGTTCTTGACTCAAACCAATGCGCCTGGCGCCTACTACCATACCCCTTCAAAGGCACTTCAATCTTTTGTCTTTCCCATTCACCCTCTGAATGGCACACATACACAATCCATGTCTCAAGGCTTAAAAATCCTTCTTTAACCAGTCTCCTCTTCATCTACACTGATTGAAGTGGATTTAACAGGTGACATCAATAAGGGATCATAGCTTTCACCTGGATTCACCTGGTCAGTCTGTCATGGAAAGAGCAGGTGTTCTTAATGTTTTGTATACAATGTATAAGGCCTCTGACATTGTTTAATTTATGTATTTTTCTTAAAACCTGTGTTCCTGGCTATGAACTTTGCTAAATATGCATTTTAAATGTATAATCCAACTTCCGTATATGTTTGCACAATTTTAAAAGTACAAAAATATATATATAATAATTTGTGTCTGTGTAGAGCTTGTAGTAAGCTTTATCCAGGTCTGTGCCCAAACAGTTTGAGCTTCTACTTCTAAAAATCCACCTTTCCAGAAATAAGTCTCTCACTGTTGCCACTTGCTACAGACCCCCCTCAGCCCCGAGCTGTGCCCTGGACACCATATGGGAAATGATTGCCCCTCATCTATCTTCTTTGTTCATACTGCTTGGTGACCTAAACTGGGATATGCTTAACACCCCGGCCAACCTACAATCTAAACTAGATGCCCTCAAACTCACACAAATGATCAACGAACCTACCAGGTACAACCCTAAATCTGTAAACATGGGCACCCTCATAGATATTATCCTGACAAATTGACCCTCTAAATACAACTCCGCTGTCTTCAACCAGGATCTCAGCGATCACTGCCTGCGTCCGTAATGGGTCCGTGGTCAAACGACCACCCCTCATCACTGTCAAACGCTCCCTAAAACACTTTAGCGAGCAGGCCTTTCTAATTGACCTGGCCCGGGTATCCTGGATGGATATTGACCTCATTCCGTCAGTAGAGGATGCCTGGTTGTTCTTTAAAAATGCTTTCCTCTCAATCTTAAATAAGCATGCCCCATTCAAAAAATTCAGAACTAAGAACAGATATAGCCCCTGGTTCTCCTCAGACTTGACTGCCCTTGACCAGCACAAAAACATCCTGTGGCATACTGCATTAGCATCGAACAGCACCCGCGGTATCCAACTTTTCAGGGAAGTCAGGAACCAATATACACAATCAGTTAAGGAAAGCAAAGGCTAGCTTTTTCAAACAGAATTTTTGCATCCTGTAGCACTAACTCCAAAAGGTTTTGGGACACTGTAAAGTCCATGGAGAATAAGAGCACCTCCTCCCAACTGCCCACTGCACTGAGGCTAGGAAACACTGTCACCACCGATACATCTATAATAATCGAGAATTTCAACATGCATTTTGCTACGGCTGGCCATGCTTTCCACCTGGCTACCACTACCCCGGCCACCGGCTCTGCACCCTCCGCTGCAACTTGCCCATGCCCCCCCCCCCCGCTTCTCCTTCACACAAATTCAGACAGCTGATGTTCTGAAAGAGCTGAAAAATCTGGACCCCTACAAATCAGCTGGGCTAGACAATCTGGACCCTTTCTTTCTAAAATTAGCCACCAAAATTGTCGCAACCCTTATTACTAGCATCTGAGATCCCCAGAGATTGGAAAGCTGCTGCGGTCATCCCCCTCTTCAAAGAGGGTGACACTCTGTTACAGACCTATATCAATCCTGCCCTGCCTTTCGAAAGTATTTGAAAGCCAAGTTAACAAACAGATCACCGACCATTTTGAATCCCACCGTACCTTCTCCGCTATGCAATCCGGTTTCCGAGCTGGTCATGGGTGCATCATTTAGGACCTCAAGGTCCTAAATTATATTATAACCGCGATCGATAAAATACAGTACTGCGCAGCCGTCTTCATCTACCTGGCCAAAGCTTTCGACTCTGTCAACCACCGCATTCTTATTGGCAGACTAAATAGCCTTGGTTTCTCAAATGACTGCCTCGCCTGGTTCACCAACTACTTCTCAGATAGAGTTCAATGTGTCAAATCGGAGGGCCTGTTGTCTGGACCTCTGGCAGTCTCTATGGGGGTGCCACAGGGTTCAATTCTCGGAACCGACTCTATTCTCTGTGTATATCAATGATGTCGCTCTTGCTGCTGGTGACGCCCGGATCCACCTCTATGCGGACGACACCATTTTGTATACATCTGGCCCTTCATTGGACACTGTGTTAACAAACCTCCAAAAGAGCTTCAACGCCATACAACACTCCTTCCGTAGCCTCCAACTGCTCTTAAACACTAGTAAAACTAAATGCATGCTCTTCAACCGAACGCTGCTTGCACCCGCCCACCCGACTAGAATCACTACTCTCTGCGGGTCTGACCTAGAGTATGTGGACAACTACAAATACCTAGGTGTCTGGTTAGACTGTAAACTCTCCTTCCAGACTCACATTAAGCATCTCCAATCAAAAGTTAGACCTAGAATCGGCTTCCTATTTCGCAACAAAGCCTCCTTCACTCATGCTGCCAAACATGCCCTCGTAAAACTGACTATCCTACCGATCCTTGACTTCGGCGATGTCATTTACAAAATAGCCTCCAACACTCTACTCAGAAAATTGGATGTAGTCTATCACAGTGCCATCCGTTTTGTCACCAAAGCCCAATATTCTACTCACCATTGTGACCTGTACGCTCTTGTTGGCTGGCCCTCACTACATATTCGTCGCCAAACCCACTGGCTCCAGGTCATCTATAAATCACTGCTAGGCAAATCCCTGCCTTATCTTAGCTCACTGGTCACCATAGCAACACCCACCCGTAGTCTGCGCTCCAGCAGGTATATCTCACTGGTCATCCCCAAAGCCAACACCTCCTTTGGCCGCCATTCCTTCCAGTTCTCTGCTGCCAATGACTGGAACGAACTGCAAAAATCTCTGAAGCTGGAGACTCTTATCTCCCTCACTAACTTTAAGCATCAGTTGTCAGAGCAGCTTACCGATCACTGCACCAGTACACTGAAAATCTGAAATTCGCCCACCCAACTACCTCATCCCCATATTGTTATTTATTTTGCTAATTTGCACCCCAGTATCTCTATTTGCACATCATCTTTTGCACATCTATCATTCCAGTGTTAATACGAAATTGTAACTATTTTGCACTATGGCCTATTTATTGCCTTACCTCCATAATTTACTACATTCGCACACACTGTATATATATATATTTTTTTTCTGTTTTATTTTTGACTTTATGTTTTGTTTACCCCATATGTAACTCTGTGTTGTTGTTTTTAATCGCACTGCTTTGCTTTATCTTGGCCAGGTCGCAGTTGTAAATGAGAACTTGTTCTCAACTGGCTTACCTGGTTAAATAAAGGTTAAATAAAATAAATAAAAATAAAATAGACTGTGTTCTCTTCTCTCCCTCGGAGGCAGATGATGAACAGGGAGCTGTCTGAACTGCAGACCCAATGGGACAGAGCCAAGGAGAAGAACAACCAGACTGAGATGAAACTGATGATGCACCAAGGCCAGTCCAGAGACCAGGTCTGAGCACCGCCACCATTTTACATTAATAACCAATAATAACGCCATAATAAACTCCCCTCCACCTCTCTTGTCAGGTTGAGGAAGTAGGTAGCCTGCTGATAGCTGTGAAGAACCTTGCAGAGCAGTGCTACTTACACCACTATGGGCCTCTGGAAGAGATAGACATGCTGACGATGATGGATATGGTAAAGGTAATGTCTAATTGCATTGTTATTAGTAATTACCTTGAATGAGTTCCCATTTGTTCTCATTTATAAAGTATACTTAGTTTATTTAGAATTTCTTATCCAGGATTTCTTCTGAAATCCAAATGTTGTATAGTGTAATCATATCAATTCCCCAAGCAAGATTGCAACTACAAATTCATTTTATTACTTACCATATTTACAGGAATACATTCTTGAGAGGGCAGACATCGTGATGAGAGCAACACGACTGATAGACTCAGGCTCTGCATTGACGAGTGCCACAGAGCACAGAGGATCACTGAAAAACATTAACAGTAAAACACAACTGAAGAGCACCAGCAAAACCAGTGGGAGGAGTGGACTGTCTAGTTGATCAATGCCGAATAGACCTTTTACGAGTTTGTGGAGAAACACACGAATACAACCATGCAAGTGTACGCACGCACGCACGCACATGCATACGGACAGAGTAAAGGGTGTGAGTGCAATATAAGGTACTTCCAACTTGTTGTTGTAATAGTGTTACAATAGTATCATTCTTTGTGGTGAAGTTAAAGTTGCTTATGAAGGAAATTGCTGTGGTTGTAATTCATTTGTACATGAATTTCTCATAAAGCCTAATATAAGATTGATGATTGAAAATTGTTAGGATGAATTCAAATATTCATTTTTTTATTCCTTGATTTATTTAAAAATATTTTTTATAATGTTCATCTGACAAAATCTCTTTGAAATTATGAATAAAAACAGTTGAAGATGGGTTGTGGTTGTTGTTTTTAAACAATAAGATTGTTGAGTTCAATAGAAAAACATTTACCAAGTTGAGGGAAGTTCATATGATGGTCCTAATCCACCGAAGTTTGAAAATACTACAATGTACATAGTAGGCCTACACAGACAAATCTAGGCCCACTTATGGATATTTCGGGGGGGGTTCCTCTGTAACAAAAATAATCAATGTACCAAAGATACTGGTAACTAACCCTTTTGTCTGTGAATGTACTGTCCCTTTAAATACAAAGCACGTGGCAGTTCTAAATATCCGGTTGTTAGGTCATTGTTGTTGTTACTGTTGCTCGAAAATGAAAGAATTCTAGAATGTCTTTCGATGGTATATTTCATTCCACTGTTTGTTGCGTACAACAGAAGTATTTTGCCACGCGCTTATTAGCCTGCGAGACAGGAGGACAATTTGTGGAAACATTTAAATCAGTGTTTCTACTTAGCTATCCATGTTTATCTTAGTAGCATGCTAACCTAGCCTTTATGAAGGTGGACAGAAAATTATTTGACTACTCTTTGAGACGCCTCAAGTATGGTAATGTTATCTTTTAGCAACAAAACATTTGGAACGTAGGAATTAACAAAGCATTACTTTTTACTATTGTCAGTACACTATTTACAGACTTATATTAATTTAGCAAATGACTGTTCTTCACAGACGGACGCACGACAGTTTGTCTCAAGTAGAGAAGAAATATCTACATATCTGCTGGAGGTGGAAGCTGCAAAGTATCGGGTAATAATGCCAATTCATATAGCTAGATAGCCATTGCAAAAGGCTGACAAGAAAGAACATAATGTGAATGATGCTACCTTCATACATAAAGCTTTACTTGTCTGCTGTGAGGTCTCTGACTTCTTTGGATAGATATTCCTTGGATATCCTGAAACAAATGTAATGAAATGACACTAAATCAGGAAACTGTAAAAAAGAAAGTGTTACCATTACATTTACATTTAAGTCATTTAGCAGGCGCTCTTATCCAGAGCGACTTACAGGAGCAATTAGGGTTAAGTGCCTTGCTCAAGGCATACATTATATGGACTAATTAGTTAGTCAAATCAGATGTATTAAATAAAACATAAGACAGGCTGGTGAAATTAAATTACTTGTTACTGTTTTTGAATTTGTCAAATTCACAGACATCTCTTCTCTTCTGTTTTGAAGGACATTTGCAGCCAGTATAAGTACATGCGAAAAATCAGGGGAGATGGCAATTGCTTTTACAGAGCCCTATGCTTTGGACATCTGGAATCATTGTTACAAAATGACAGAGCTTTGCAAAGGTAAATTCCTTCCTATGCATAGCCTTCGCCATGTGCATTCGTAGAATGTTTTGGATTCCAAAATGTGCCTTTGCCTGTGTGTGGCTTTTCCACTTCCAAATAATGGAGGAATATGTATCATTTCTCTATTTCTCAGATTCAAAGAAACAGTGATACAAAGTGGCAGAGAGTTATTGGCTGCAGGCTTTGATGAGAGCTCTTTCAAAGACTTGCTCGACATGGTACATTTACATTTATCTACCTTGGTACTATTTTCTAAAATCAAATATTGCATTTTCACAATAATAACCATCAGACTCATGTAATTGAAGCCTGTTGATTAATTACAAGGGTTAGTTATCGAACAGTTCATCTTTTAGTTTTTAGGTGTTCTGGAACAATGTGAAGCTGATGAGCATGGTGACACATTGCTCCAGCTCTTTAATGAGCAAACTACCTCTGACAGTATGGTGCAATACCTCAGGCTGCTCACCTCAGCCTACCTGCAAAACCATGCCGACTTCTTCAGCCACTTTGTGGAGGCACCCAGTCTCAAGGTTTACTGCACTCAGGTCAGTATGAGTTGCGCTCAATACCATATTGATGTCATCTCCTGTTTAATATGCTATGTAAGTGTGCCTGGTGCTGCTGATTTTCTCTGTAGACAATCAGACCTAGTCTCAAGGAGTTTCTCGCCACTCAAAACTAGTGTCTGAAAGTGTTTTGCTGCTCTCTAGTGGTGGTGCAATACATTGAAAGGAAATGGGGTGTATAGGGACCACTCATTGACATCACAATTTTTGGTAACTGATCAACCAATCTACATTTGTACTGACCACACAGCATTCTGTTTCTGCATGGGTAGATACTTACATAATGTCCATTCTTGACTTATCCAGGAAGTGGAAACCATGGCAATGGAGTGTGACCACGTAGATATCCTGGCTCTGTCGGAGGCCTTAGGAGTTAGCATCCACATTGCTTCCGTGGAGGGGGGAGACGGACAGCGTCTGGCCCACCACACCATTCCAGAGGGAACCGAGCCCTCCCTACACCTCCTCTACAAAACAGCCCACTATGACATTCTCTACCCACATCATTGCCATTGAGGGGCCTGATAAAGGACTCCACTTATCTCAGGTTTACAGGTAGTTTAGTGTTAAAATACATTATTAAGAAGAGTTTCTCAAACAAAACTGTTTTTAGCATTGTTTTGTAATATAAAGTGCATTCGGAAAGTATTCAGACCCCTTGACCTTTTCCACATTGTTACATTACAGCCTTATTCTAAAATTGATTAAATTAATGTCTCAATCTACATACAACATACAATACCCCATAATGACAAAGCGAAAACAGGTTTAGAAATGTTTGCAAACGTATTAAAAAAACTAAACAAATACTTTATTTATTCTGACGCTTTGCTATGGGACTCAAAATTGAGCTCAGGTGCATCCTGTTTCCATTGATCATCCTTGAGATGTTTCTACAACTTAATTGGAGTCCACCTGTGGTAAACTCAATTGATTGGACATGATTTGGAAAGGCACACACCTGTCTATATAAGGTCCCACATGACAGTGCATGGCAGAGCAAAAACCAAGCCGAGGTCAAAGGAATTGTCCGTAGAACTCCAAGACAGGATTGTGTTGAGGCACACATCTGTGGAAGGGTACCAAAAAATGTCTGCAACACAGTGGCCTCCATCATTCTTAAATGGAAGACGTTTGGAAACACCAAGACTCTTCCTAGAGCTGGCCGCCCGGCCAAACTGAGCAATCAGGGGGAAAAGGGCAATGGTCAGGGAGGTGACCAAGAACCCAATGGTCACTTTGACAGAGCTCCAGAGTTCCTCTATGGAGATGGGAAAACCTTCCAGAAGGACAACCATCTCTGCAACACTCCACCAATCAGGCCTTTATGGTAGAGTGGCCGGACGGAAGCCACTCTTCAGTAAAAGGCACATGACAGCCCGCTTGGAGTTTGCCAAAAGGCAGCTAAAGGACTCTCAGACCATGAAAAACAATATTCTCTGGTCTGATGAAACCAAGATTGAACTCATTGGCCTGAATGCCAAGCGTCACGTCTGGAGGAAACCTGGCACCATCCCTACGGTGAAGTATGGTGGTGGCAGGGAGACTAGTCAGGATTGAGGGAAAGATGAACGGAGCAGATCCTTGATGAAAACCTGCTCCAGAGCGCTCAGGACCTCAGACTGGGGAGAAGGTTCACCTTCCAACAGGACAACAACCCTAAGCACACAGCCAAGACAACGCAGGAGTGGCTTCGGGACAAGTCTCTGAATGTCCTTGAGTGGCCCAGCCAGAGCCCGGACTTGAACCCGATCGAACATCTCTAGAGAGACCTGAAAATAGCTGTGTAGCGACGCTCCCCATCCAACCTGACAGAGCTTGAGAGGATCTGTAGAGAATGGGAGAAACTCCCCAAATACAGGTGTGCCAAGCTTGTAGCGTCATACCCAAGAAGACTCGAGGCTGTAATCGCTGCCAAAGGTGCTTCAACAAAGTACTGAGTAAAGGGTCTGAATACTTATGTAAATGTAAATGTAATATTTCAGCTTTTTATAAATTTGATAACATTTCTAAAAACCTGTTTTTGCTTTATCATTGAGGTATTGTGTGTAGATTGATGAGGAAAACAACCAATTTAATCCATTTTAGAATGAGGCTGTAACGTAACAAAATGTGGAAAAAGTCAAGGGGTCTGAATACTTTCCGAATGCACTGTACAGTAAACTCACGCGGTAGACTCCGCTCCACTTTCTTGAATGTCCCCCCCCCCCAAAAAAAACAACACAACTGATATCTCTTAAAATCATTTTATGTGAAATGTTTACAATAATTGCACTGTATCTCAATTTATAAAAATTCAATCTCAGACATTCTAATTGAGACGACACTAATTTTTAACACTTCTACTGCTGTTTCTTTTGTTTCTGTATTTTCTTCTGATTGGAGACACTGGTCAAGGCCGTTTCCAAACCATGTAGGGGCATGTTGGGCAGGGAGAGCTTACCCATCTGTGTGGGGTACTTGGTCTTCATCACATTCTTGAATACAGGCTGAGAAATCAGGTGTTTCAGGTGCTTCTTCATGCCCTTCACCATCTTCTGCTGCTGCCTGTCGTCTTCCTCATCCTTCCTCCCCCCTGAAAAAACAAAATGTCACTGATCTATTGATGGAAGTCCCTTTTATGTCTGGGTTTCTCATGAGGCAACCTCCCACTCCTAGATAACTCATTTAATTATGTAGTCTTACCAAGCAAAACATCATCATCAAGATCCACCTCCAGAGCTTCTGCTGCTTGCTTAAACCAAGAGTTGTGCTGCTTCTCTCTGCTATTGTGGAATTCAATCTTCTCTATCTTCCTGGCCATGTTGACTCGCTCCTGTCAAGGCAGACAAAACATTGTACCATATTTCATATTATGAAAAATAAGTAAATATGTGCAGCTCCTAGCTCAGATTGACCATCATGTGATCAAATACAGGTGCCTGGCTAGGTGCCTACCTTGATGGCAGCCATGCACTTCCTCTGTATGGGAAACATGGGAACCTCCTCATCCTTTCCCAGAGCTCTGTAGATTTTCTTGAAGTTCATCATGTCATCTGGCCCAACCAGGAGCAAACTGAGACCCTCTTTGGTGGCTCGTGCTGTCCTACCACTGCGGTGGACATAAGTCTCTGACGTCCTTGGAACCTGGGACACACAAGAATGTTCTTAATTTAAGGAATAACTGTTAGAGACAAAGTATGACAGGAAGCCACCAAAGGTGTCAAAAGGCATACCTGGTAATGAATGACGTGTTGAACATTTGGAATGTCAAGCCCTCTTGCCGCCACATCAGTTGTCAGGAGCACACAGCTGTAAATATCAATGTGTACTATAGTTAAAATAGTTTATGGTACAGATGTATTTGCTGACCCACTCAAGGCTAATCCAATTCATAACTCAAAACCGATATGGATAATAACTAGCCTGCAGCATTTCCATGTACTTTTTCTACGCCTCACCTCTCCCTCTCAGCGAACCTCTCAAGGTTCTTTAGGCGCTGCTTCTGGTGCATGTTGGCATGCAGTGGCAGTGGAGTACGGTCCAAGATGACCAGCAGAGAGTTGAGCCGCTTGATGCAGTCAATACTGTTGGCAAACACCATAGTCCGGCCTGGATACTGGAGCAAGAAGTAGTACAGGAAGAAATCCTTCTCTTCCTTTTCACAGTGTATCCGTCTCTCAGTCAGGGTCTCGACTGTAGCCTCCTTCCGGGTCAGATCAATGACTTTAGGCTTGGACCTGATCCCCACTTTCTCCATTAGGACCTCCAGCTTGCTCCTCTGGTCGACCTTCTTGCCCTTCTTCTGTAGGACACGGGTGGGCAAGCTGTGGGCCATGGTCAGGGTGGCAGAGAACACAAATGTCTGCCTCTTTGGGTTGAACTGGACAGTGTTCAGCATCTCCAGCAGACTTTCCAGCTCAGCAAAATGGCCTCTTTCCACCATGCGGTCTGCTTCGTCAATGACTAGGCACCTATGAAGAAAGAAAAAATGTTTTACTGATGCTTTACAATCATGACTGGTATGAAGCAAAAATGTTACTTTCCAGGCCAGATATGGACAAACATCTGCATTGAACATGCATTATACCAACTATTTAAACACACTACTGATTAAATTGACGCTACCAAAACAAATAGCTTCAGCTCACACCCTGACTTCCTGATTTCTTACTGTTTTTGTTTACTTGTATGTGCTGTGTACGTAATTCAGCTTTTAGTTGCCAAGTACGGCCTACATGTAATGTAATGTCATAAAACTACACTTTTTAAAAATGTATATACCTTAGCTGCCTTAGGTTCACCAGATGTGGATGCCTCTCTTTGATCATCTCCCACAGGCGTCCTGGAGTGGCAATGATGATCTCAGGTCTGCGTTTCAGCATCCTGATCTGTTTCTGCTGAGCCATTCCACCGACCACAATCGCTGTTTTTATACCTGTACACAGGAACAAATCAGTTGAATCTATTCATTTAAATAGGTTTGTGGAATCTCATTCAAATCTGATTCTTGAAAGCCCACACCTACTTCATGAATAGGGTAATCCCCAATTTTTTTTATGAATCAGTGGCTTCTCACTGCCTTTAGCACTCACCAGTAAACTTAGCCACAGCATCAATGTGATGTTTCACCTGTACAGCCAGCTCCCTGGTCGGGCAGAGAACCAATCCTAACAATGGCTGTTTCTCACTGACTTTCAGAGTCTCTTCTTCTGCTGTGTTGTCAAATTCAAACTCCATATTCTCAATGACTTTGACGCACCCTATCTGTTCAGAGTCACTCTCATCCTCGTCCTCCTGATATATTTCTTCATCATTCTCCTCCTCCTCAATTGTTTTTTCGTCATCCTCAATTATTTCTTTGTCATCAGCAGCATCTTTGTCTTCCTCTGCTACATCTTCACTCCCCTGCTCTTGTGGATATTCCTGCTCTGTGGTTTCCTCAGTGACCTCATTGCTGGTGTCAATGGAAATACATGTCTCAGTCTCTACAGATTCCTCCACTCTCGGCAGGTACAGGCTTTCCACCTGTGTTCCTGGCTCAGTCTGGCCATCTGTCGCCCCCTCACTTTCATCTGCTCCCTTCTTCCACTCCAGGATATGATGGATCATGGGGATGCCGAAAGACAGCGTCTTACCACTACCCGTCTCGGCTGCCCCAACAATGTCCATATGGTCTCTGATAGCAGGTGGCAATGCCAGAGCTTGAATGGCCGTGGGTGATCCGAACCCTAGACTGCTCAGTGCCTTCAACACTTGGTCAGGGACAAACAGATCCTTCCATGCTGTCACATCTGAGTTTTGGTCAGAACCAGAGCGTGCCGCGTTGGTCCAATTCTTTGCTTTCTTTTTGGAGAGTTTAGACACTTTGCCTTGAGGGGGTAACTCTGTCTGTGACTCTGGGACTGTCTGTGACTCTGGGACTGTCTGCTTTTCTACCTTTCTTTTCTTTTTCCTCTTTTCTTATTTTTGCCATCAGTCTTTGTATTGTTTGATTGTGGCTGAGCATCCTCAGGACACATAACAGCATCTTGTAAGACAGTTTCTTCAGGGGCTTTCTCCTCTTCCTCCTTGACCACAATGTTCTCTGAACCATTTTTAAGGTTTTGGACTTTGTCACTCACCTCCTCACTTTTCACTTTACTGTCCGCAGAAATGTCATCCTGTGTGGTTGGATCATTTTGTTGGGTTGTTTTCTTTTTATTCTTCTTCCTAGCTGGTTTTTCAGACGTTTCATTTTCGTAACTACCTCCCTCACATACCTCCTTTTGTTTCCCTCCATCCTTATCTCTCTCACTAGCCTTTCTTTTTTAGCTTTTTTCTTTTCTTTTCTTTCTTTTCTCTTCTTTTTATATTTGTCTGCTTTAGCTTCTGCTTTAGCTTCTTCCTTGGCAGAGTCTATTAGGCGGTAGTCTGTCAGCTCCTCAAAACAGACCAGTCCCCCCATGCCCTCTTCTGAGAAGAGACTGGGGTCCAGTTCTACTGCTTTCCAGCTGCCCTTCACATGGATCCCCCGTTTGGCTGACTTCGTCCGAGAGAAAGGGCGCATATTTTTCATCTGACTCCCGTTGGGCTTCATTTTCCTATGAATAGATAACAGTTCCATTGTTAATATGATTAAGACTACATTCATGATGAACAGTTCTGTGTATTCCAATTGGATATTTTGATCTTAGTACAGTACAAGGAGCAAGCTAGATTGTTATAAAAAGTGTCCTTATACCAAAGCGTGTAGCTGAAGTAGCTAGCCATAAGCAAACTAGTTAGCTATGATGACAAAACGCATCAGTTGTAGCTAGCAGCTATCGGTAGATAAAACCCCTTGAATTTCTGTATTCTAACTGGTACGTGCTATAGCTGATGAAAACAAATGGAATAAAGGGTAACTATTCACTATCTAATTCACTGAAAGGTGTAGCCTAGCTAGCCAGTCTGACACATTAGATAGAAAAACATCAGCATGGTAGCTAGCTACTTTATAGCTGTCCACATGAAACACTCCGCACCACTTAATGGATTAATATTCAATACAGTTCCATGAAATATAGCTGCATAAAAAGATTGACAAATAAATATAGAGTACCTTTGACTGTTTACAGGAATTTCCTCTGATAAGAATTAATCACACGACTTGATTGGACTCACGTATGACACGAGGACGCAGCCATGGCACTTGTGATCACGTGGTTTGAAAAACTTTATTAGTAACCATTTAGTTTGAGCAGAGAGCTGTGTTGCTGGAATGTGAGTCTGAGGTGATGAAGACATTAACAAAGCAGATCTTACATATTATCTATGAAAAGGTTATCTATACTGTAACATTAATTGGACTCTAATGTTGGTCATATTTGCGTCATTTTTTAGATAATATGTGATTCATGCCTTTAATTTAAGGACTCAGGCAGGGTTGATATGTTCAGGTTGCTGTCTTTATATTAGGAAGATCACCAAACCAGTTGAATATCTGTTCACCTTTTAATACATACAAATGGAACATATTACATGTACAACACCTCTCCAGACACCAAATGCACGGTACTCATTACAGTCCGTTTTTGGTGGGGTCAATCACTCTGCCCATGAACAACAAGCTGTTAGTGACCTCATGGTAGATAAAAAAGAAGAAGGGTCGGTTGACGATGAAAGAAGAGGGTAAGGCGTATCCAGTGATGGTGCCTTCTGTGGCAGCGGCTGCAGTGGTGCCTCTCTCATCCACCTCGATCACTGCCTTGTGCAACACCTGTAACCACATTATCATTGCAATAATATGTTATTTGTTATTAATCCACAGTGTGTAATTTAATTGTATATTTCTCAATTGATCCAGATGGAAATTGGTTAAGGCCTGTTAATCCAACTGACCTCTGACACCTTCAGGCCTGGGTCTCTGCTCAACCTAGTGAGGTTAGCGGTGTCATGGAAGATACTGGATATACCCAAATCTTGAAGGATGTTGTGCATGGCGTAGGATTGCGCCATCTTGAATTTGGGCAGTTGAACTTCCAGTTTCCTGTGAAAAAACAGACAACTTTCATACAATACGGAACTCTTACAAAACCTATGCAATTTTGCAATGTTTCATCACAAAATACACTTGACTTTTCTATCTACATTTCTTTCAGGTTTTTGATCCAGCTGAGGAATCTCTCAGCTGTGATCTCGTCATCTATTGTGGTATAATCCAGGCCTTTGTTGGGTAGCAGAATAAGCATTGAAACGCCCTTCCGGTATGGTAGCTTCAGCACCTTGGCGTTCAGAGGAATGTCATCCATTGTGTAGAACTTATCCTCCATACTAAACATCATGGGCACCTGGACAATGTTGTAGTTGTCAATAAAGAAACGTTCATTTTCTGTGTGATTGGGGTTGAAGGGCATCTGCCATTCACCTAAATTCAAAATATGACAAAGCATATTTATTGGGAAGAAAATGTGTTAATGTGGTATTTTAGGCAATGCAATTTAACTTTGAATAAGATATACTGATGGGATGCAATTATGGTAGACCCAAGTCTAAACTAAACGTACTAACTAGTAAAATGTAATGTTTTTTAAGTGATATGGTGGAACTGCTTAAATCAGAGAATTCATGACATAGCTGCTCACCCTGAAAAAAAATTGTGTTGATGAGCATGAGTTTGGTAAGTGGATCCAAGTTAGAGACCACCTCCTTGACTTTGTTACCAGTCTTTCTCATGATGTAGTCATTGATCAGGGCAACGCTAGCTTTTCTATCTGCAAAGTCAACATTTTTGATGTCAGCGTTGAAGAATTTCTTGATCTGGTCACTGTAGTCTCTCTCTACCTCAAACGTTAGCCGGACGAAGAGGGCGGTGCTCTGGTCAAGTTTCAATGATCCATCTTGTGTGATGTTCCCTTGGAGTTGTTGGAAGAGTTCTGGAATTATATCTGGCTGGTTGTCCCGATCTAGGTGGGCCAGGTTGAGCCCCTTCAGTATCTGGTCTCGTGTGGGACCCTGTGCTGCCATGGAGAGGGTGGCAAAAGCTGTGGATATGCTCAGGGGTGAGAAAAATATGTTATTATCATGGTAACCAGCAATCTTCCTGTAGAGATTCATAGCAAAGTCCATGTTCTTGAAGGTCAGGTCTGTGATGTTGGGGCTCCGCTCTTGAGTTTGGTAGACAGGGGTGAGGGTGCAGACATAGGTCAGGAGGAAAAGGAGTTCCACCTTCATCATCATAGTTCTTTGGTGACTTATGTGATCCAACCTGCAATAGTACTTATAAGTCCTATGGGCAAATTGCAAGAGATAGGTTTGGTATCAATTACTAATGCATTGTATCAGGAATCATACACAAAGTAAACTGAGACAGAAAACAATTTCAATTGAGTAATTTCAAAAGAAATGTCAGCCAATTTTGTTCGCTATTTAGGGGTTTTCAAAATCACAACTCTCAAATAAGATTGTCACATTTCAACAAAGCAACACTGTGTATCTTATCTAATAGACCTACTGTATATACATATATTATTACAAATAGTTATATACTTCTCAATAACAGACCTACCTTTCAGCTTGGGTATCAGCAAGATATGTCAAAACCCTCCATTTACTATTTGGGGAGACAAAGTGCAAGTGTGCCTTTAGGGTTATCTATTAACTATGGGCTAGGGTTACTCAAACTGTTAAAGTCTGTTATTTTGGTTGATTTAAAAATGAATTTGGTACTAACAATTAAAGTATACACGTTCAAAAGTGGGAATGATTCAACTCAAACAAATTAGGACAAGGATTTAATTAAACAATTCAGCCATGGTTATAGATCAATGAAGCAAGATTCCATAGACTTCAGTAAGAGCAAATATAATTTTATTCCTGGAAAGAAATGTTTTAGATACAGCAAAGGAATGAGAATGATGTAATAACATGGGGATGTGGAGTATAACAAACATCTGATTGTTTAGTGCCTATTGAAGAATGTAAAGAAGTGAAAATTATGCAATCATAAAAAACACAAAGCATTGCGGGATCACAACTGTAGTAACAATTTTGTTCTCTAATAAAACAAGAACACTTTCAAGAATCAAGAAGAGAATGAAATCATGAAATTAGCTGAGAAGTTAACTTTGAGCACATCTCAAACTCTACATGGGATATTACTGTACTGTAGTTCTATTTCTGTAGAGGCAAAAAAAATTTTTAGGGGGGGTGTCGTGAAATACATGCTTTGAATTGGCACATCCGAACTGGCAAATTCCATGTAAACACAATAATTGTAAATGACATTGTTCACTTTATTACTGTATTAAAAGTGTTTATCTATACATCTTCAAAAAACCAAATCAGTTTGTGAACCATGGTGGTGGCCTGGGTGCTTAATAAAATAGCTGTGGCAAGTCAGATCAGTCCTTTAAAATAACCCACACAACATATTGCTGTTTATATAACATGTTTCTTTTCATTATGCACTAATACAGCTAAAAATGAATTCACCTCACTACTGGATACCAATCTATTCTTTAATTCGTTTTTTGGGGGAAATGGTGACCTCTTACAAGACCCAAGTGAAAGAGAAGGTAAGAGACTATGATGGTCTCTATCAAACCTCTACCTCAATCGAACCAGTGGTCCCATGTAGCACTCCCATACTGAAGGCTAGAGGATTATCCTAGGTAATTCCTGGTTTCCTGTCTGTAACACACCTCACCATTGTGCCCATCTACCCCCCACCAAACACACCTCGGCACAGTAGGCGCCATTAAGACCCCTCCCAGAGGAAAATAACAAGCGTAGGAATAAAAAACAACAACACACAAATTAGACAAAGAAGGCGCTGTGGTAGAAAGGCCGTCACAGACTTGAGGCCCTCTTCCTGGCCTCAGCGTCACTTGTGTTAGATGAGACTCGCACTTTATTCTTTGTTGTTATTCTCTTCTCTACAACTTGTCAGCGAACTAGCCAAGAGAGCTGTGTAAACTCATTGGAGAGCTGTGTTCACTCATTGGAAGGGTTAGAGGAGGGGATGAGGTTTCCCCGTGATGGGGGTACCAGCCAAGGCAGGTAGTAGTCAACGTAGGCTTCTGCTGGACCTCCCTCCACCTTACTGGCTGCGTTTGGCTTGTGCATCCTCCTCTGTGGCAATCTTCCCGGATCCTGGAAAAGATTAGACAAGGGAGCATTCGCTTTTTGGGTTTGAGTCTCAACCTATTAGCTCAATTCAAAGGGACAGTACTCAAAATATTACTGTATGTACTCATTTCCCCCATACCTGTGCTTTCTGTAGGTTGTTGAGGTGAAGTGGGCTTAGCCAGCTGTTGGGACTGTCTACATGGTAAACAGAGTGGATTTACAGGTTAGCGTTGCCCAGTCTAGGTATTTTTTATAACCACACACACAGCCATGCACACATGGACACAAACAGAAGAATATTCCAGAGGGTACAGCACTCACCTGTCAAAGTAGGCTTGTCTCCTCCTTCGCAGTTCCTCGGCTGAGAGTTTCTCACTCTGAGGTGTTCCTCCTGCAGTACTCCCTGGTGCCTGGTCTGACGATGTTGTCTTGGCAATAAGCCCCCCTTTCGGCATTGACTTATCGCTCATTACTGGCCCGAGGCAGACAAAGACAAAATGACAGATATCAGTGTCAAGATACTTTTAAAAAAATCATATTGTCACACATGGTGCAAAATGCATAATGACTGTGTTAGTAGTCTGTTCATTTATACAGTTCTAAATCAGGAAATGTATCATGAATCGATTTAGTGTGTGATATTCTGGGTGATTTTTAACTGTTGCTTACCCAATACAGCCTTACCCTGCATGCTGAGCTGTATGGCCCTGCGAAGGTCAGCCTCTTCATCTTCCACCTCCATGTCCTGTCTACTCAGGGCCAGGGCCTTCCTCAGCTCCTCCTCATCCTCTTCCACCACACCCTCTTCCATGCCAGGGCCTGTCTCCAGCACACTACCCTGCCCTGATGATCTGCTGCTCAGGGTGAAAAGCATTGTGGGGGTTCATTCTCTCCCCTTAGAAAATACAAATGACTCTAGATGTTTAAGTTCGAGATGTTACATCAATCTGACAGTATGGGTGAATGGTGGTCATTTGTGATCTGGAGCCTACTCTCTGTAGGCCTACTCTTTCTCTCTTACCCCATGCCACTACTCGACTGAGCCTTGTCCTCTCCAATCAGCTTTGGTCTCTCTTGCTGCTGCACCTTCATGATCCCCAGTATCTGCTCTGCTTCACACTCTGGGAGATTTCCTCGGATCACAAATATGGAATACCCTGCAAAAAGACAGGCCTTCTTTGACCAACTAGCAAATCTGAGAAATCAACAGCACAAAAATTTAAACAAAATCACATATGTCAGGTTGTTTTACCTTCTTGTTGTAACTGTGCAAGGAAGAGAGCTAAGTATGTGTCTGATATCAGCTCTGGTCCAGTCAATAATGAATTCAAATTAAACCACTGCAATGACATATAGGGTTAAATCAAGAGGCTATATCATCTGTCCCAGACGGCTGAAGTGAAATTAATTATACAAGTTTTTTTTAATCACAATTTATACCTGTTGCCCAAGTTTTCGTATTGTAAACCAGTGCTCCTTGTAGTTGCATATAAATGCCTTTTCATTTCTGAAACATGAGGACATTATTTCAATTGATGTGCCAAGAGGATATAGACCATCCAATACATTTGTAAGTAAAATTTCAAGGCAGGAACTTGAAGATTTGTATCACATCCAGTGTGATTTTTACATTGGGTTTATCATAAGCCTCTGGTACTCTCGACTGTTGAAGAGGGTCAGCTCCAAACCCCACACCGATAACGCATTGCTGATAACCTGATGGAGAAAATCACAGAAGTGTTATCATGAGGTAATCTGGTCCTCTGTAGCTCAGCTGGTAGAGCACGGCGCTTGTAGCGCCAAGGTAGTGGGTTCGATCCCCGGGACCACCCATACACAAAAAAATGTATGCACGCATGACTGTAAGTCGCTTTGGATAAAAGCGTCTGCTAAATGGCATATTATATATTATATATATGCTGTTTATTTTTTTTATAGTTCTACTTTTTCATCCCTCAACCCCAATTATTATGTGTTCATTGGTTGCACTAATTCCACTGTTTATTTACATAACCTGGGGTACGTTCAGTTTGGTTCAGCGTTTGCTATGTTGAGTGACAGTTTGTACTGAACAACATGTTTCCCCAAAACGGTGGGCACCGTTCTTCAACAGCCTTTGTGGTACATTTGCTCCCATTTGATGGGTGTGGCTTGATCAATATGGGTGTGAAACCATTTGAAATTGCAAAACGTCGTGCAGAACACCATGCACAATCTTCCTCTGGGCCACCATAATTCTTCAACTGGTCGTTCAGTACAGTACCGTTTCCGTTGAATTAAACGTTGAACACCACACCCCTGGTTCAAGCATTCATTATGTAACCCTGAAGAAGGCACTGAATGCAGAACCGTTTGCGACTTTCTTTTTATATAGTGTTATCATAAGGATCAGGATACATTACTTATCAGATACATTTTTCATATATTTCAACTTATAATGCATGAGTTGGCTTTCTTACTCACTTGTATAGAAAAGAAACCACTGTCATCCATGTTACCAGATGGTTGCTGCAAATACATAAAAATTAAGAGCATTAGCTCACATTCTAAAAGCCAATAATAAACAACTGCATTATGTATCATAACAAGTCCAAGACCCCTCCCTTACCTGTAAAAACGTTCTGTACTCCTCACTACCCATACCACCCTCCGCCATCCTCATCCTTTCCTCCTCATCCAGTTGATGGGCAATGGACGATAGGTCAACGGGGGTAAAATACTCGCCTTGCAGAAGGTTGTTAAGACAATGCTGAGCACACAGGGAGCCCTCTTGCTGTAAATAAGAATAAATGCATAAATCAAACTTGTACCAGGCACTGCTAGAAAATGTGTCAACAGCAGCTACTTAGCTGGCTAGTTAGCTAGCTACAACGTACAAATAATTCGCACATTATTACCAGTTAAAAGTCGGTAACGTTAGTTGGCTAGTTATATAGGTAGGTTACACGATCTTCACATTTGACAAAATATGTTAACTAGAAACTGGGACAAATATAACTTATCAGCTAGCTAGCTATCAATAGCAATCGGTCTGGTAATAAGGCAAATCCCTCCAGCTACTTCAGATGTACTTTTGCGCAATTTAGCTAGCAAGCTAGTTTAAAACGAGCAGAATACACATTATGTGAACTTAATAATCGAAAGAAAACAGACAAGCTTACTTTCTCATGAAAGATAGACTCCATGTTTAAATTTACTGCTAAACATCATACTCTGACCTTCGACCATGCTGGGTTCAGGACGGAACAGCCAATCAGCTCTCAGTATTCGTTTGTTATTGTTTACACTAGCGAGATAGATTTTTGCGATACAGATAGCTATGAAGTAACACGAATATATATAACAAGACACGTCTTAGTGTAAAATCAGATTAATTAATACTATCTGTGTATTATATCTAGTTAGCATTTATTTAAATAAAAATGTTTGAGGCGAGGTCAGAGATATTAGAGAAAGGCAATGAATGGAGATAAGACCCCATTCAAAAGACTGTCTTTCAATCGCGTTCACGTTGTCATGCTGCGTCACGCGGTTGCTAAACTAATCGTCATGCAATCCCTTCTCAAAGTCAGGTTATTAGTCGATAAACCTGCCTATTTTCTTCGAAATTATGTAATGTCACGATTCTAATGCTATACGATATTACAGAAAATAAGTTAATTATCTCACATCTCGGGAAATATTTGTAATGTTGTACTTCTTGTTCACGAAATTCATGCTAATGTTGGGTTTTTGAGCTAGCACCCAATTGACTCCCATTCACTCCTTGAAGGAGAGCCCTCCTTGTCCCAGAATCGCCCAAACTGCACCACATAGATGACACATGGGCAACGTTCACAATTGGCGTTAATATGATTCCAATGGCGTTTCCCATCTCCTCAAAAGTATCTCTGGCCAGGTCGAGGACCAAAAACAACTCCAGAGCCAGAACGTCTCCCTGGCAACAACAGTTTTTACGGCATATGGTCGAAGGTGGAAGAACGTTAAACTGGCAGGACCTCAGTAAGGTATGGGATATTTATGCTCTAAACGAAATTTGTATAGATTACACCAATGACTGTATATATGAAGGATTACACGCGTATTTAATTGTCACGTTCCATTTCATAATTTACTGAAGATATGGTTTCACACTCATATTTGAAAGGTGTTTTACTTGGTGGGCGCTCTACGCACCCCTCGCTAGCTTGCTAGCTAACTGCTGGCCACATTTGCTAGTTAACTAATGTTGCAATAACTATTTTGGTGGGCGTCACGTTAGCTAGCTAGTTAGTTAAGATACGCTACATGACCAAAAGTATGTGGACACCTGCACCCTGAAGAAGGCACAGTGATGCTGAAACGTTGGTGTTTTTTTACCCAATACATTACTGGGAGGTTATACATATGGAGTGTGCGACTCTTTGGTTTTATAGCTTACAGTTTATTCACCGTTAGTCAGCACCTCTACACTAAATCATTTTCTCTGGGTGTGCGCCAGCTCATGCTTTTTATTAGACACCTGCTCATCGAACATCTCATTCCAAAATCATGGGCATTAATATGGATTTGGTCCCCCCCTTTGCTGCTATAACAGTCTCCACTCTTCTAGGAAGGCTTTCCACTAGATGTTGGAACATTTCTGTGGGGACTTGCTTCCATTCTGCCACAAGAACATTAGTGAGGTCGGGCACTGATGTTGGGCGATTAGGCCTGGCTCACAGTCTGCGTTCCAATTCATCCCAAAGGTGTTCGATGGGGTTGAGGTCAGGGCTCTGTGCAGGCCAGTCAAGTTCTTCCACACCAATCTCGACAAACCATTTCTGTATGGACCTCGCTTTGTGCACGGGGTCATTATCATGCTAAAACAGGAAAGGGCCTTTCCCGAACTGTTGCCAAAAAGTTGGAAGCACAGAATCGTCTAGAATGTCATTGTATGCTGTAGCGTTAATATTTCCCTTCACCGGAACTAAGAGGCCTAGCCATGAAAAACAGCCTGTTATGATGAGTTTCTGGTATTGAGAAGTTCAAGATGCAAGAATTTACTTAGACATTCTGTGTTGAGATTTTATACCAAGTATTTATTGGATCACGAGCCGTGGGTTCATCTAACAAACGGACATAGCTCTGCCCTTTGTCATTTGAACTGCCCCTACACACAAATCTCGACTCCTTTATACTCTTGGTTATCCTTCCTTTCACATACATCTGGCAACCATCATAGGCACTCCCTTTCTCTGTTGTTATTACCCTTTGCCCCAGGTCATTATATCCTTTCCATCAATCATACTACCATAAACATCACTAATCTCCTTTGACATAAGGAATGTAGACTTCATGGCCCCAAACCAATTATCTCGTAACTCTACCTCGGTCCTCACAATACTATGAAATGACATCATTACACAGGCCCAGACCATTATTCCACCTCCACCAACCTTTACAGTTTGCACTATGCATTGGGGCAGGTAGCGTTCTCCTGGCATCCGCCAAACCCAGATTTGTCCGTCGGACTGCCAGATGGTGATGCGTGATTCATCACTCCAGAGAACGCGTTTCACTGCTCCGGAGTCCAATGGTGGCAAGCTTTACACCAGTCCAGCCGACGCTTGGCATTGCGCAAGGTGATCTTAGGCTTGTGTGCGGCTGCTCAGCCATGGAAATCCATTTCATGAAGCTCCCGACGAACAGTTATTGTGCTGACATTGCTCCCAGAGGCAGTTTGGAACTCGGTAGTGACTGTTGCAACCGAGGACAGACATTTTTATGCACTACGCGCTTCAGCACTTGGTGGTCCCGTTTTGTGAGCTTGTGTGGCCTACCAATTCGCGGCTGAACTGTTGTTACTCTTAGAGGTTTCCACTTCACAATAACAGCACTTACAGTTGACTGGGGCAGCTCTAGCAGGGCAGAAATTTGACGAACTGACTTGTTGGAAAGGTGGCATCCTATGACGATGCCACGTTGAAAGTAAGGCCAGTCTACTGCCAATGTTTGTCTATGGAGGTTGCATGGCTGTGTGCCCAATTTTTATACACCTGTCAGCAACGGATGTGGCTGAAATAGCCTAATCCACTCATTTGAAGGGGTGTCCACATACGTTTGTGTATATATAGATGTATGTCTGGTAATTGAATTGTGTTCACACAGCTAGCTAGTGAAGATGTTCTTATTGCTAGTTAGGTACGTTGTCACACAGCAATTGAGAATATTTGTTGTCAGGATCTGTGTTACTGTAGCTAGCTAGCTAACGTTAACTAATGTTATAGTTATCTGCTTGAGTGTGGTTTTTGGGTGCATGATGTCGAGGTTTGCTTCTGCACCAATGTAACTTAGCTAGCGTGAGTCTCCCGGTGTGTGTGTGTGTGCCTGTTAGCGTGAAATACACTATGATCCCTTATTGATATCACTTGCTAAATCCACTTAAATCAGTGTAGATGAAGGGGAGGAGAGGGTTTAAATAAGGATTTTAAAGCCTTGAGACAATTGAGACATGGATTGTGTATGTGTGCCATTAAGAGGCTGAATGGGCAAGACAAAATATTTAAGTGTCTTTGAACGAGGTATTGTAGTAGGTGCCAGGCACACTGGTTTGTGTCAAGAACTGCAACGCTGCTGGGTTTTTCAAGCTCAACAGTTTCCTGTGTGCATCAAGAATGGTCCACCACCCAAAGGACATCCAGCCAACTTGACACAACTGTGGGTAGCATTTGGAGTCAACATGGGCCAGCATCCCTGTGGAATGCTTTCGACACCTTGCCCCGACGAATTGAGGCAGTTCAATATTGGCAGCTGTCCTTAATGTTTTGTACACTCAGTGTGTAATAAATAAATAAATATGTGTGTGTGTGTATGTATGTATGTATGTATGTATGTGTGTGTGTGTGTGTATATATATATATATATATATATATATCTATATATATATATAATATATATAATATATATATATATATCTATATATATATCTATATATATCTATATATATATATCTATATATATATATATATACAGTGGGGAAAAAAAGTATTTAGTCAGCCACCAATTGTGCAAGTTCTCCCACTTAAAAAGATGAGAGAGGCCTGTAATTTTCATCATAGGTACACATCAACTATGACAGACAAATTGAGGAAAAAAAATCCAGAAAATCACATTGTAGGATTTTTTATGAATTTATTTGCAAATTATGGTGGAAAATAAGTATTTGGTCACCTACAAACAAGCAATATTTCTGGCTCTCACAGACCTGTAACTTCTTCTTTAAGAGGATCCTCTGTCCTCCACTCGTTACCTGTATTAATGGCACTTGTTTGAACTTGTTATCAGTATAAAAGACACCTGTCCACAACCTCAAACAGTCACACTCCAAACTCCACTATGGCCAAGACCAAAGAGCTGTCAAAGGACACCAGAAACAAAATTGTAGACCTGCACCAGGCTGGGAAGACTGAATCTGCAATAGGTAAGCAGCTTGGTTTGAAGAAATCAACTGTGGGAGCAATTATTAGGAAATGGAAGACATACAAGACCACTGATAATCTCCCTCGATCTGGGGCTCCACGCAAGATCTCACCCCGTGGGGTCAAATTGATCACAAGAACGGTGAGCAAAAATCCCAGAACCACACGGGGGGACCTAGTGAATGACCTGCAGAGAGCTGGGAACAAAGTAACAAAGCCTACCATCAGTAACACACTACGCCGCCAGGGACTCAAATCCTGCAGTGCAAGACGTGTCCCCCTGCTTAAGCCAGTACATATCCAGGCCCGTCTGAAGTTTGCTAGAGTGCATTTGGATGATCCAGAAGAGGATTGGGAGAATGTCATATGGTCAGATGAAACCAAAATATAACTTTTTGGTAAAAACTCAACTCGTCGTGTTTGGAGGACAAAGAATGCTGAGAGAACACCATACCTACTGTGAAGCATGGGGGTGGAAACATCATGCTTTGGGGCTGTTTTTCTGCAAAGGGACCAGGACGACTGATCCGTGTAAAGGAAAGAATGAATGGGGCCATGTATCGTGAGATTTTGAGTGAAAACCTCCTTCCATCAGCAAGGGCATTGAAGATGAAACGTGGCTGGGTCTTTCAGCATGACAATGATCCCAAACACACCGCCCGGGCAACGAAGGAGTGGCTTCGTAAGAAGCATTTCAAGGTCCTGGAGTGGCCTAGCCAGTCTCCAGATCTCAACCCCATAGAAAATCTTTGGAAGGAGTTGAAAGTCCGTGTTGCCCAGCGACAGCCCCAAAACATCACTGCTCTAGAGGAGATCTGCATGGAGGAATGGGCCAAAATACCAGCAACAGTGTGTGAAAACCTTGTGAAGACTTACAGAAAACGTTTGACCTGTGTCATTGCCAACAAAGGGTATATAACAAAGTATTGACAAAACTTTTGTTATTGACCAAATACTTATTTTCCACCATAATTTGCAAATAAATTCATAAAAAATCCTATAATGTGATTTTCTGGATTTTTTTTTCTCATTTTGTCTTTTATAGTTGACGTGTACCTATGATGAAAATTACAGGCCTCTCTCATCTTTTTAAGTGGGAGAACTTGCACAATTGGTGGCTGACTAAATACTTTTTTGCCCCACTGTATACACACACACACACTACCATTCAAAAGTTTGGACACCTACTCATTCAAGGGTTTTTCTTTATTTTTACTATTTTTTACATTGTATAATAATAGTGAAGACATCAACACTATGAAATGACACATATGGAATCATGTAGTAACCAAAGAAGTGTTAAAAATATCAAAATATATTTTATATTTGAGATTCTTCAAATAGACACCCTTTGCCTTGATGACAGCTTTGCACACTCTTGGCATTCTCTCACCCAGCTTCATGAGGTGGTCACCTGGAATGCATTTCAATTAACAGGTGTGCCTTGTTAAAAGTTAATTTGTGGAATTTCTTTCCTTCTTAATGCGTTTGAGCCAATCAGTTGTTTTGTGACAAGGTAGGGGGATATACAGAAGATAGCCCTATTTGGTAAAAGACCTAGTCCATTTTATGTCAAGAACAGCTCAAATAAGCAAAGAGAAATGACAGTCCATCATTACTTTAAGACATGAAGGTCAGTCAATATGAACAATTTCAAGAACTTTGAAAGTTTCTTAAAGTGCAGTCGCAAAAACCATCAAGCGCTATGATGAAACTGGCTCTCATGAAGACCACCACAGGAATGGAAGACTCAGAGTTACCTCTGCTGCATAGGATAAGTTCGTTAGAGTTACCAGCCTCAGAAATTGTAGCCCAAATAAATGCTTCACAGAGTTGAAGTCACAGACACATCTCAACATCAACTGTTCAGAAGGGACTGTGTGAATCAGGCCTTCATGGTCGAATTGCTGCAAAGAAACCACTACTAAAGGACACCAATAAGAAGAAGAGACTTGCTTGGGACAAGAAACACGAGCAATGGACATTAGACCGGTGGAAATGTGTCGTTTGGTCTGGAGTCCAAATTGGAAATATTTGGTTCCAACCGCCGTGTCTTTGTGAGATGCGGTGTGTGTGAACGGATGATCTCCGCATGTGTATTTCCCACCGTAAAGCATGGAGGAGGAGGTGTTATGGTGTGGGGGTGCTTTTCTGGTGACACTGTCTGTGATTTATTTAGAATTCAAGGCACACTTAACCAGCATGGCTACCACAGCATTCTGCAGCAATACGCCATCCCATCTGGTTTGGGCTTAGTGGGACTATCATTTGTTTTTGAACAGGACAATGACCCAACACACCTCCAGGCTGTGTAAGGGCTATTTGACCAAGAAGGAGAGTGATGGAGTGCATCAGCAGATGACCTGGCCTCCACAATCCCCCGACCTCAACCCAATTGAGATGGTTTGGGATGAGTGCTTAGCATATGTGGGAACTCCTTCAAGACTGTTGGAAAAGTATTCCAGGTGAAGCTGGTTGAAAGAATGCCAAGAGTGTGCAAAGCTGTCATCAAGGCAAAGGGTGGCTATTTGAAGAGTCTCAAATATAAGATATATTTTGATTTAACACTTTTTTAGGTTATTACATGATTCCATATGTGTTATTTCATAGTTTTGATGTTTTCGCTATTATTCTACAATGTAGAAAATAGTAAAAATGAGTAGGTGTGTCCAAACCTTTGACTGGTACTGTGTGTGTGTATATGTATATATATATATGTGTGTGTGTATAATAATATTTATTTATTTATTTAAATGTTTTGCTGCCTTAAGTGGAAAGAGTCAGTATTGTGTTGTTTGTACCTAACCCAGATGTTGCTCTCCTCCCTCCCCCTATGTCCTGAAGAGATGGCAGGATGCTGCGGACAGCGGGGCAGAGATGCTCTGGTACGTGGTGGAGCAGGTGCCACAGATCTACTGCCTGTAGGTGGAGTCCAACCCCCAGGAGGAGGAGGAGGTGATGCAGACCCGTCTCCTCCAGCCCTTGGAATGTTTCCTGTTCGAGGAGGACCCTCAGGCAGGCATGGAGAAGCTCCAGCAGGGCTGTGCCTCCAAGGAGGGGGAGACTGTCTACTCCTGCAGGTCAGAACCAGCCTACTGATTGTCATGCATCTATGCTCATTAAGACACCTGCTTATCAGACAGAGGTTTCATAACTCCTGAACCAACTCAGTCAGTAAGGTTATGGCATGTCAAGAAACAGAAATATGAAGAATCTGTTGACCTTATGAACGTACTAGGGCTGTGACGATACCAGTGTCGCAATATAGTTTTTCCATGGCAAAAATGAAAACACTAAGCAGACCACACTCTTTGGTCCTTTAAAAACCTTGTGTATTTAATATGTTGTGTGCTTGGAAAATACATGTGTGACTCTAGATGACACTATTGATGTTTGTTTCCAACATTAAGGCTGTTTTCCTAAAGTTAAATCTGATTTGTGTTTTGTTTCCTTGCCACGATACTAACGAGTATCGCAATACTGGTTTCGTCCCGGCCCTAGAACGTACTGTAAGGTGACAACCTTTTTAGCCACCAGATTAGCTTTAGGCCTAGGTTCAATCAGATCGTGTGTTAACCAACGTTGGCCGACATCCGCATAGTAGGTATTTTAACGGTGTTGGAGGTGTAACTATGGTATGAGCTGACATATCGGTGAGCGGCTGCTCTTGTGTGTCAAAAACCACTCCCTTCAAAACGGCACTCAAAAACGGCGCTAGAAAGTGTAGGCTTTATTGATGTTAGAAATAATGACTCTCTAATGTCAAACCATTGATGTTAGGCTAATGCATGTTTTCATGTTAAAGGAAAAATCCACCCAAAATCACTAATTCCTTTAATTTACCATGCTAAATAACACAAATGTGAGAACAATATTTTTTGTGAACAAACGTTTCATTTTGGTGTTATAAAATCATGTGAAAATCTGTTGCAGCTCAAGTCGACTACAAAATCCACAATGCAGTGCTCTCTAGGGGCTGGCTGGCTAGCTAGCAAACGTAGCTACACATAATAATACCAAAGACTATCATCATGTAAAGTAGCTCGTTAGCTGTAAAATCGCCTGAAGAAACTGCACTATCAATTTCGTTAACAAAAAGTACAACATTACAAATCTTTTCCTAGCTGTGAGATAATTATCTTGCTATCTGTAATATCGTAAAGCTTTGGAATCGTGACATTATACACTTTCGAGGAAAATAGGCACATTTCTCGACATATACACTGACTTTGAGAAGAGATTGCGTGACGATTAGCTTAGCAACCGCGTGACGAAACATCACAACGCGATTGGTCGACAGTCTGCTGGGTGGTGCGTTTTCCGTTCCTTCATTCATTGAATTGCTAATCTCCTTTCTATAATATCTCTGGCAACGGCACCATGCAATGCACCCTGTACTAAATTACACATTTCTCAAGGTAGGAATATTGCAAAAATATGATCAATGGCTCATTCGAGAGAAGACATCCTCCCGAGTTATGACATCGGCCAGTATTGAAATCTGACATGTATGATAGACGTTTTCATGATCTAAAAGTCGTATTCCTATTAACTTCCAGTGTAGTGAGAGCGACTTTATCACGGTGCTACGTCATACCGGCCGGATTTCTGCCTGCTTGAACGGCAATGACTCAAATACACGTGAAAATATGAAATGACCCAGGGAATCGATAGGACATCACTCAGCGATGCACAAAAACAATATAACATTCAAAATGGGTGAACCTTTCCTTTTTAATTTGGATGGGGGGGATTTATGCCTATCAGTCTAATTCGAATGTTTGAACTTATAACGTGGCTGCATGGGATTTGTCGCATTATAGTCTGGTGTTGTTTCGTTGCTATGGTAACGCATCGAGACGCTTGTGGATTTGACTGCATTAACACAGTTCCACCTCCGATACCGCCTGCCAAAACAACGCTATGTGGATGTCAGTCTGATTGAATCTAGCCCTTAAGCTCTGAAGGTTAGTTTTTATTCTTAACTCTATTAATAATGCGCTTCAAAGATGTATGTAAATACATCAAAATAGTTTAGGCATGATTCGCTAAAGATGCAGTTCTAATATTAGCTAATAGGCTTACCTTTTTATCACCTCACACTACAACACCACAGTACTTAGCCTAACTGGCTGTAATTAATAGTTAATAAGTGGTCTCTGTATCAGGTTTTAGTGTGTGACTGTGTGTGTGCATGTCTTTGAGCCAACTGTTGATGTGTGTGTGTGTGTGTGTGTGTGTGATTAAATTACGAATCTAACCTCCCTTGGGCCTAATTGCAGGGACTGTGCAATAGATTCCACATGCGTACTATGCATGGACTGCTTCCAGGACAGTGTGCATAAGGGCCATCGTTATAAAGTAGGTTCCCATTTTTCCTTTAAATGTTGTTGTTTTGGAAGGGTTTAGTGTTAATATAAGTGTTTTAAGTGGTAATAACATGTTGATAACATCTAAGTCTCTCCTGCTGTCCGTGTCCATCACTGATCCTCAATGATGTTTGTATGATTTTTCCAGATGCATGCTTCGTCAGGCGGGGGCTTCTGTGACTGTGGGGATTGGGAGGCCTGGAAGACTGGGCCCTGCTGTTCCAAACACGACCCGCATCTTCTTTTCCATTCCATGTTGATGACCTCAGTTTGCTTCTTTTCCTGTCTTGAGTTGGAGAATGCACGTGTCTGGGAAAGTGACGCTTGGGCAGCCTGCGTCACAAAACAAATTACAGCTGGAATGATAGAGGCAGAGGGAGGGTGGTTGCAGAGAGGCTTTATAGAAAATAAGGGGATGAGAAAAAGCCAGTCTAGTGATTATATCATTTGGTCCACTTATGTAATATTATCATTAATTAACAATGTTTCCATATCAACGTGGAATGGCTTTTGCTGATAAACTTAATAACAAACAATTAGGAATAGGCCTAAATGGAGGGGCATTCAAGTCATTGAACAGTGTAGGGAACAGTCATGCAACAAAAGTGGTTTAGTACTGATTACTTAGGACCTGGGCCCGGTTGCATAAAACATCTTACAGTAGGTCAATTTCCCCCTTATCTTTTCCCTTAAAGTTTCCTTAACTTTAAGTTAGGCGCACAAAATATTTTAAGGCAAAATTTCCCCTTAAGTTAAGTGAAAAAGTTAAGGGTGCCCATGAGGTCCCTTAAGTGCTTCATTCAGTATGGATATCAATGTAAACAGCATTTGTGGAGGTGAACGTTGCTTTCCTCTGCCCTGGTTGCAAAAGGAAAACATCAACCAGTTAGCTAGGTGTATAACTAGCTAGCTGCTTAGCTAAACAATGAAAGGTAATCCATGGCTAGAAGGTAATTCATAGAAACAAGTTGAGAAAAAAGTAACTGAAATAAACATTTTATTATCTTCTAAATCAATTTGTTTATCCTGTCTTGAATGTAGAAGTTATATTTTGGGATCTCCACATGCGGAAAACTTATATGACTGTATGTGTACATCATTTGTTCCAGGATTTACCATTTGCTGCCTTTGATTTTGCATGCCACCTCTTTCATTAATCATCTCTCCCTTCTTATTTCATGACTGTATGATTTTTAAATGGAAATTCTCAATTCTATGTTTGATGACTGAGAGGAATATTTAGTTTTATGATGAATTCATTCATCCTGTCAACTTCCTTCCAGGTCCATGTGTTGCAACTCGAGGACCAACATGCTCATCACTGGGCTATGAGGACAACAGGGAAGTGCTGGGTAACCTAGTTGTTTAGGGCAATATGGTGACCACCAATGTGACCATCCCAGCCAGCCTGTCCATAACACTATGCCATAGACTAAATATTGAAGATAACGCAGACATAGCTAACTATCAGACTCTGCCTACAATCCCTTCATCCATCAAGATCTTAAGGTGAGTCCTTACAAAGAAGATATGTCCTGTATGTATTCATTTTATTTAATATAGTTTCAACCAAGATCATTTAAATAGACTTCTGAGCCCCTATCACTCACTATATGGTGGGATATACAGTAGCCATAGGCATCAAACTCTCTGAAGAGCATCATTATGTGGTAGGCTATTATAAAGATGTAGTTTTCAAGGCTTAGGCAATAGGCACTTATGCTCATAGTGTTAAGATTTCCATGCTGTCAGCATGTTTGCACAAATACTGTATGGTGTCTCCCGAGTGGCGCTCCCGAGTGGCGCAGTGGTCTAAGGCATCGCAGTGCTAGCTGTGCCACTAGAGATCCTGGTTCGAATCCAGGCTCTGTCGTAGCCGGCCGCGACCGGGAGACCCATGGGGCGGCGCCATTCCCTCCCCTACCCAGCGTCGTCCAGGGTAGGGGAGGGAATGGCCGGCAGGGATGTAGCTCAGTTAATAGAGAATGGCGTTTGCAACGCCAGGGTTGTGGGTTCGATTCCCACAGGGGGTATGAAAAAAAAATAGAAATAAAAGTATAATAATAATGTGACTAACTGTAAGTCGCTCTGGATAAGAGCGTCTGCTAAATGACTAAAATGTAATGTAAATGTCTCCATGGTAACCAGAGACTCTTTCTACCATACATGCCTTCAAACTACTGTAAAACCCCTTAAGTATGCCCTTACCTAAGGACAAGGTTTGAAGGATTCTATGCAACACCCTTAAACAATTCCCTTAGGTAACGGGAAATTATTCCTTAAGGGAAATAAAATATGTTTTATGCAACCGGGGCCTGCTGTCTTGAATAAAGCCCAGCCCAGGTGTTGTCTGTCTTTACTTACCCAGTGTGAGATTACTGTGCCTTCCTCTGATAAGATCAGGAGCGGTGAGCCAACACAAAAGGCCCCTGTGGCTCATTGCGTTTTTCTGTAAACAGCAGGTGCCTCCATTGAAGGCTGGCCGCTGCCCTGTAGGCTGCTTTTTGTTTTACTGTCTGGATCTGAACATGTTTTGAATGAGCAGTGACACATCACATGACAACACTGTCTGAGTTTCAAACAAGGAAGCTCTCAGGCGGGGGATATCTAGCAGAGAATGGCGTTGCAATGGATAGCAGCCGTTTTATGGGCTCCTGACCAATTCTGCTATCGTAACATTTTTTTGTAGAAAATGTTTCCGCCATCGTTTCCTTTGACTGAAAAGAGCTTCTGGACATCAGAAAACCAATCACTAACCTCGATTTGGATGAAGATTTCTACATAAAGGAGTTGGGAGCGTGTGACGTACTGCTCACCCCGGACCAGCCCCTAATCCCAGAGACTCAGAAATGATAAAGGCGTATACAGTGCCTTCGGAAAGTATTCAGACCCCTTGACTTTTTCCACATTTTGTTAGGTTACAGCCTTATTCTAAAATTGATTAAAATGTTTTTTCCCCTCGTCAATCTACACACAATACCCCATAATGACAAAGCAAAACTGGTTTGTAGAAATTTCTGCTAATTTCAACAACAAAAAAAAGAAAGAAAAAACTGAAATATCACAATTACATGAGTTACCGCCACACCGGCAGTCACGAGTCATGAAGGCAGTCAAATTCCACATGACTGTGTAGTCACGGTAATTAGGCTTCTCCAAGCTCTGCAGCTGCTGCTGGTCATTAGTAGCCTACCAAACTTGCTAACTGCCTGGGACTCAGCACTCTATTGTCCCTCTAATCACTCTGACATCAATGCAAATTAGGCCTACTATATTTATTTCTCAACTTTCCTAATATTAAGCACATTGCTAATATTTACAACAGGAGTATAGCCTACCTGGCTGGCATGAAAATAAACCATGGGGAAAAGCGTCCTCCATTCGCTGTTTAAGTGCATAGATGACATGTATTTTTCCCCCGCTGCCCCTGTTTTGATACAGGTGCATGATAATGGTCCATTCTAAATCAAATCAAATGTCACACATACAGTACCAGTCAAAAGTTTGGACACACCTACTCATTCAAGGGTTTTTCTTTATTTTGACTATTTTCTACATTGTAGAATAATAGTGAAGACATCAAAATATGAACTAACACATATGGAATCATGTAGTAACCAAAAAAGTGTTAAACAAATCAAAATATATTTTATATTTGAGATTCTTCAAATAGCCACCCTTTGCCTTGATGACAGCTTTGCACACTCTTGGCATTCTCTCAACCAGCTTCACCTGTAATGCTTTTCCAACAGTCTTGAAGGAGTTCCCACGTATGCTGAGGCATTGTTGGCTGCTTTTCCTTCACTCTGCTGTCCGACTCATCCCAAACCATCTCAATTGGGTTGAGGTTGGGGGATTGTGGAGGCCAGGTCATCTGATGCAGCACTCAATCTTGGTAAAATAGCCCTTACACAGCCTGGAGGTGTTGGGTCATTGTCCTGTTCAAAAACAAATGATTGTCCCACTAAACCCAAACCAGATGGGATTGCGTATCGCTGCAGAATGCTGTGGTAGCCATGCTGGTTAAGTGTGCCTTGAATTCTAACTAAATCACAGACCGTGTCACCAGCAAAGCACCCCCACACCATAACACCACCTCCTCCATGCTATACGGTGGGAAATAAACATGCGGAGATCATCTGTTCACCCACACCGCGTCTCACAAGGACACGGCGGTTGGAACCAAATATTTCCAATTTGGACTCCAGACCAAAGGATACATTTCCACCGGTCTAATGTCCATTGCTCGTGTTTCTTGGCCCAAGCAAGTGTATTTATTTGGGCTGCAATTTCTGAGGCTGGTAACTCTAATTAACTTATCCTCTGCAGCAGAGGTAACTCTTGAGTCTTCCATTCCTGTGGCGGTCCTCATGAGAGCCAGTTTCATCATAGTGCTTCATGGTTTTTGCGAATGCACTTTTTAGAAACTTTCAAAGTTCTTGAAATGTTCGGTATTTTACTGACCTTCATGTCTTAAAGTAATGATGGACTGTTGTTTCTCTTTGCTTATTTGAGCTGTTCTTGCCATCATATGGACTTGGTCTTTTACAAAATAGGGCTATCTTCTGTACAGTCGTGGTCAAAAGTTTTGAGAATGACACAAATATTAATTTTAACAAAGTCTGCTGCCTCAGTTTTTATGATGGCAATTTGCATATACTCCAGAATGTTATGGAGAGTGATCAGATGAATTGCAATTAATTGCCAAGTCCCTCTTTGCCATGAAAATGAACTTAATCCCCAAAAAACATTTACACTGCATTTCAGCCCTGCCACAAAAGGACCAGCTGACATCATGTCAGTGATTCTCTCGTTAACACAGGTGGGAGTGTTGACGAGGACAAGGCTGGAGATCACTCTGTCATGCTGATTGAGTTAGAATAACAGACTGGAAGCTTTAAAAGGAGGGTGGTGCTTGAAATCATTGTTCTTCCTCTGTTAACCATTGTTACCTGCAAGGAAACACGTGCCGTCATCATTGCTTTGCACAAAAAGGGCTTCACAGGCAAGTATATTGCTGCTAGTAAGATTGCACCTAAATCAACCATTTATCGGATCATCAAGAACCTCAAGGAGAGAGGTTCAATTGTTGTGAAGAAGGCTTTAGGGCGGCCAAGATAGTCTCCTAAAGTTGATTCAGCTGCGGGATCGGGGCACCACCAGTGCAGAGCTTGCTCAGGAATGGCAGCAGGCAGGTGTGAGAGCATCTGCACGCACAGTGAGGCGAAGACTTTTGGAGGATGGCCTGGTGTCAAGTAGGGCAGCGAG